CAATGAATCGAAAATGTACTTCCCAAACTCTAAACCTGTTTAAAAAGCCGCCTACGGACAATGTTGAAAATTTGCACTTGTGCTATGAACACTTGAAACAATACATCTAATCCAGTGGTCACCAACCTTTTTCAGCAGAAGATCTCCACGCTTGGTCCAAGAAAAGAGCAAGATCTACCAACATAAATGTAAATAACAGCAACAAACATGATCATGTTTATAGTTCCAAACCGCTTTATTTTTGCAATCTTGTAATATTTAACTTAAGGAAAACTAATTAAAGAATGACAGTTTTGGTAATTTAACTGTTATCTCTGCTTAATTTAATTTCTTTCCAGTGACTAGTTCGGAATCAGAATACACTCAATGGTTTTCAAGAAGCCCAGAAGTTGTAGACCATGCACCAGCCAATCAGCTGTAAACTGTGAACCCATGACGTCAAACTCATCAAGTCTGTCTGGGTCCCTTTTGTGGTACAGCACAACAGTAAACAAAGCATCGAGATGGATGTAGACAAAGACAGACATTCTGTGTTGGCAACGGTTCCCTAAAGATGTTATTGCCCTTTTTCCTACGGGATTTGGTGCATTACATACATGAGATATGTAATGCACCAAATACCAGTGATTGGTTTAATTTTAAAAAATCAAAAAGTACCCACCTACTGTCGAGCGAACGAATCCTAACGCTGTGAGGGCAGACACTTTCCACAAAGTGAAACCGTCTGATAAACACTGTTGGGCAAGTTACTTTGAAACTGTAATGCGTTATTTATTACCTATTACTGTCATTTCAAAGTAATTCGTTACATTACAATATTACTGCATTTAAAATGTAAGGCATTACATTACTATTGCATTACTTTAAGTTACTCTCACCAAAATAACTTTTGCACTGTATATGGACTGAACCAGGACTAAACCAGGTCTAAACCAGGACTAAACCAGAACTGAACCAGGACTAAACCAGAACTGAACTAGGACTAAACCAGAAGTGAACTAGGACTAAAACAGGACTCACTGTAGGGACGAGCTCGGAGGTGACCGCAGGAGAAAGGAGCGGCTCTGCTCCGCACCTCACGGAGGTAAGAGCGACTGTCACCCGATCGCTCTTTATGGACCCTGCTGCTCGGGCTCGAGGTCCTGATTTCAGCAACTATTTGCAGGTACCCGAGCCGGTGCAAGACTCTGTTACAGCGCGTAACTTCTACCTTCCTTCAGCGTGTCCAGAAGTCCAACTTTTTGTGTGATGGTTTGCATCTTCCTCTGTCTTTTGGGTGCGAGCGCAGGAGCCTTTGTCGGTGCAGAACGTTTCGTCGACGTTGTGGGTTTCGTCGGGGAGAAAACTTGCAACTGAACATGTATTTAAATTTGGCAGCTGAACACATTCTGTACTGTACAGGAGACAGGAGTCCCTTGGCCAGTCAGGACGCAGCGGGAGGAACGCAATACGCATTCATACAATGTAAAAAAAAAAAAGGCATGCAAAATTGCACACAAAAAAAAAATCTGCGAGACCGCGAAAAATGAACTGCAATAGAGGGAGGGACAAGTGTAAACCAGGTCTAAACCAGAACTGACCCAGGTCTAAACCAGGTCTAAACAGCGTGGAGTTCTTTGTCAGTCCTTTCGCCCGCGGTTACCTGAAGGTCTACGAGGAGCATCTCCGGCGTTTCACCGCTGCTGATATCAAGGTGATTTTAGCGAATTTGTATGAAGAAAAAAACACCACTTCAATCCAGGTTAAAAAAACAACAACATTGTAACGCGCGTTACTCACATTTGTACCGAGTAAAATATTACTATTTTTTCCCCTGTAATGCCTTACATTACTGCGTTACAGCAAAAAGTAATGCATTACTGTAATTCGTTACTTTTATAACGCGTTACTCCCAACACTGCTGATAAATCAGGCTAGACTAAAACACTCACTGCAAGAAAAAATTTGCAATTGCAATACAAACAAAATGCAAATCACATGCAGTGCGAACAACCAAAAGAGTGCAAATCTGACCATTAAACAGCATTAACAGTGTATCTAAAGGGTTATTGAGTGGAGTTCTCTTATTATCAAACTCACACACTTCCAACTTTGTCACTTTGCAGTCACAAATTGTTGAATTTAGGCTCGAGATCTACCGGGGACACAGCAAAGATCAACCTGTCGCTCATGATCAACAGGTTGGCGACCACTGATCTAATCCAATGCACTTACTGTGTCCATATTAAATACATAAATAAATAGAACCAAGGTTTGGGAGATTCTTTTATACTTCTGTGCATGGTTTTAATATAAATGGATTGTAATGCATCTCCTCATCCCCAGTTAATATTCTAAAATGACAATAAATATTGCCAAAATTGATTACAATGTGAAGACTGACTGTGAATACTTCTGCTGCGTGCGGTGGTATGAATGTGCAGGTTATGGCAGTTTGTAATGTTCGCCATCAGGGGGCGCCTGACCCCACAGTATAAAAGCTCAAGACAGACTCTGGTCTCTTGTTCTTCCACACAGTCGGTCTGGATGGTTTGGATACACTTGATGTCTCACAGGAGGAGGTACAAAATGTATTTATTACTATTTTATTCATTTACCATACCAACTTTATTTAAAAAGCACTTAAAAACTTTACAGTAGGCCAAAGTGCTGACACAAACACAGAACAGACAATGACAATCACAGCAGAAGAAAATATATAGTACAAACACAATACAACTACAAAAAAACATAGAAAACAGTAAAATACTCAACAAAAAATGTATATGTATAAAGCCAGTAAGAAAAGGTGTGTTTTTAGGAGTGATTTAAAAACAGGTACAGAGTCCTCCTCATCTCTAACGACGACTGGTTCCAGAGCCATGGGGCAGCAACACAAAACACACGGTCCCCACGAAGCTTACGTTTAGTTTTTGGGACGGCGAGCTGGAGTTAGTCTGCAGACCTGAGAGTGTGAAACGGGGCGTAAGGGTGGATCAAGTCAGTGAGGTAGGAGGGCGCTAGGCCGTGCAAACACTGTTCACAGATTCTGCAGATTCTCTACATTTGTTGGGAGCCTCCTGTAAGTTTATTAGTCAGAGCAGCTTGAAGGTTCGATGCAGGGAAACGATCCCATGTTTGTTTCTTTGTACTGTATGTATGTGACGTAAACGCGGATGCAGATCTGACCAGAGTTTTGCGTCTCTGACAGTGTAGACAGAAATGCTACAGCAGAGCATATTAATTTTTTCCACTCTGGAGGGTGGTTTTAGATTTTTTAAACATTTTTTAAGCCCCCAAAACGCCGTCACCTTCTAAACGAAAGGCACTTCTGTTAAAATATTTTGTCGTGTTTACCCACAAGCGTTCTCTTGTATATGTCAAACGTGAGAAGAGCCCTTGTTTTTTACTCTGTATGTGTTTCATTTGCAGTGGTTTTATTTGTGGTGATTTTAGTTTTGATGTGTTTTTTTATATACTGGAGTGAAGGACTGGATGGACTGAACTAATTGAACATTCTCTCCCACCCAATATTATTGGCTGTGGCCGTAGCAGCAGAGGCTTGAAAAGACAGACAGAAGGCATGAGTGGGAGGCAGACCTGTGGCGTGTTTGCATGACACCGGAAACGGAAGAGACGGGGCAAGAGAGGTGAAGGAGCGGGAACGCGAACAGGTGGTGCAGCGGGAACGGGCGAGACTGGACTAGGCGGAGGGATGTGCCGACAAGGATGGATACAACGCCTGAAAAGAGTGAAGTAAAGGGATGTATCTGGGGGACCTTGTGGGCGTGCGTGTGGCCGGACAGTAGATCAGACCAGAGCTAAGAGGCACTCCGTTTCTGCAGCGGCTCGACCTCGACACACCGGAGCTCAACGGGAAGCAAGGATGGGACCATGTGCACAGACGCGGCACGGATACAACGCCTAAATGAACTAAGTACAGGGAAGTGTCACAGCTAATCTGTGTGTGTGTGAGTTAACCACTGGCCTGGCGAGAAATTAAAGGCATGTTCTGTCCTTCTCTAGCCTTTGTCGAGTGCGGCGTCGGGAGACGGAGGACACGTGGCGGAGCGGATGCAGTGGCCCGGACGTGGGGGACGTGGTGGCTTTAACCAACCAAAAAAGAACTAAGTAAAGGGACGTCACTCAGTCGACCCTGGTGTGCGTGTGGCTGGTCAAAGTCGGTCCTAGTTCTAGTCGCAGTCTGAAAGACTTTTGTTTTACTCTAGTTTTTACAGTCAACTACGTGGCATGGCAAAGGGACTAATCTCGCCAGATCCGCACGGACCTTCAAACAGTGACTGCAGCACCCAACCCATTTTAATTCAGATTTTAACCGAACTGGATTTTTAAAATAATATTTTTTATTACATCATTTTTTTTAGGATTCTTTTATCCATTTTATACTCTATTTTATTCTTATTTTAAATATTGTGCTTCACCAAATAAAAACCAAAAAACTGTTAACTGACTGCATGTCCACTCATCTTTTCTAGTTTGGTTGAACTAAAGAATCTGACATAAACAGACCCTAAGATGCTGAAGCAGAGGTGTGAGGCAGAAGCAAGTTTTTTAAGTAGCAGGTAAATTTGACAATCATCTGTGTAGAAGTGATAGTGAATTCCACGTTTTTTTGGGGTTTTTTTGTTATTTTTTTTATTTCACCTGTAACACTCTCACTATAAGAAATAACCTTCAACTTACAATACGAATCAACAGGAAATAAACCAGATTTGTTGTTAGTTCTTAACCGTTCCTACAGCTCAGACATAAAGCAAACAATGCAGTATTTTCAGATGAAGTACAACAGGAAGGCTATTTTATCTGAAGGAAGTTTGAAATCAGATAAGCTGTTAGGTTTGAGAGAAATATTTGTGTCAGCATGCACCGAAACCTGCTTTTAACCACTAAAAGCACAGTGCATGAAAGAAACGTGTAAATAATAGACACCAGTTATGGTCTTTGTTTTAAAGCTTTAATAACAGAAAATTTACATGTGCAATTTTAGACAGAAGTGGCTGTTCATGGTGAGTTTATCTCGTGGCTTCGTACAACACATTAGTTTGTAGCTCTTGGTCTAAAGTCCTCTTTTTTTGGAAATTGATTTTGGCATACGTCAGTTCAGTGGAGTCCAAATTCTGCAATTTAATCATGACATCCAGATTATTTAAATGTATATGTATAAAAACAATCAAGCAATGTATGTTTACCTTATTATCTTCTGATCTGTCTTTGGGAATGTGCTCTTAATGACAAAATAATTTAGTTGATATGAGTAAAATTAAATAAATGCAAATTAAATATAAATTCATTGTTGAAACATATGTACCTTTTGATAGTTGATGGATTTTAAGAATAAGGCCACAAACAAGCAAGACGAGAAAAGCAAATACACCAGACGTGATTGGAAGAAACATGTTGAGGCTGTGTTCTAGTTAAAAGAAACAAAATATGACAAAGTTAGACGTTGAAAGTCACAATCGATACTACATTTGAAGGTGTAAGACTTTTAGTTTTGTCCTGCTGTGTGACAAGAAAAGAAAAGTACACATAAAACAAGTCAAAAAAGCTCTTCACAAGTACTTTCGTGTACTTTCTAGTCATTATAATCATGCTTATTTAAGGTCAAGTTGGGTTTAAACTTTCAATTTTACTTTTTATATCTATATAAAACGTGAAAAGAATCCCTCAGTCGTCCAAAGGTAGAATCCATGTAGAGGAGAAAATTGAGTTTGTCGACTGGACAAAAGTTAGTTTGGTTGAAGACGTTTCGCAGTTCATCCAAGCTGCTTCTTCAGTTCTGGTCAGACGCTGGTGGACACTTCCTTATATCTGTATCTGCAGGGAGGAGCTAACTACACTGAAACTAACACACACTTGTTTACAGTTTCTGTTTGTTTGACCTATTGACCTGTACAGGGTGTGGGGTCTAATTAGCAGAACAATTCATGGTCATAATGGAGCTTCCACACCTCTGGACCTGACCTGACTACACCTGTTGTTCTCTTGTTTGTTTTGATTTAGGTTTGAGGATGGACTTGTAAATAGGAGACAGATGGTGTCTGAGGCCTCCATTTCTGTTTAGAGAAGGATTCTCTATCTTAACAAAAATGACTTCTTTCACTCTCCTCTCAGACTAATTCTTTTCTCTGGCTCAGATCTCTACCTCACTGTCCTCAAATGAGTGGCCCGTGGTTTTTAAGTGGAGATGTGCAGCAGACTGAGGTCCACTGCTGCTCTCTCGTCTGTGTTGGTTCATCCTCTTGTGAAGTAGCTGTTTAGTTTCTCCAATGTAGCATTCACTGCACTGAATGGAGTAGACCACATTACTTTGTTTGTGGCTCGGTGTTTTGTCCTTTGGATGGACCAGTCTCTGTCTTAGAGTGTTTGTAGAGTTGAAATAGACCGGGATCTCATGTGGTCTGAAAATCCTCTGTAGTTTTTCAGAAACACCAGCCATGTAAGGAATAGTAGTAGTAGTAGTAGTAGTAGTACTTAAATAGTTTTTAAGTTCTCTTGGTTTTGTTGAAGGCCCATTTAAAAGGAGAACAGGTGTAGTCAGGTCAGGTCCAGAGGTGGGGAAGCTCCTTTATGGCCATGAATTGTTATGTTAATGTTGCACTCTTAAATAATCCAGGCGAATAGTTCCGTTTTGCAACGTTTATTTTATCCAAGCAGTTCAATACATACGAGGCACGCAGGGCTACAACACCGGAGTGCAGGCCACACTCACAACAACTGGATGGACGTGTCTGACATACTTTTATGGCTGGACCCCCAACTATCGGCACCACTCATTTCATGTCTGCTCTCGATGCTACAGTGTATTTTTATTACATTCAAATTTAATAAATTAGCAGTGCATATACTGTAATTAATAAATACTGTGTAATTTAACATTTCATCCAAATATATTATATCGATGGGCTACATTAATTAGACCCCACACCCTGTACAGGTCAATAGGCTGAACTAACGAACAGAAACTGTAAACAAGTGTGTGTTGTTTTCAGTGTAGTTCGCTCCTCCCTGTAGACAGATATAAGGAAGTGTCACCAGCGTCTGATCAGAACTGAAGAAGCAGCTTGGATGAGCTGCCAAACATCTTCAACCAAACTAACTTTTGTCCAGTCGACAAACTGAATTTTCTCCTCGCCAAATATAAAACATCTTTGTTGATAACTGTCCTAACTCCAGATCTCTTGAATACAGTTTAGTTTCTTCCTGTTTTGTTATTACCACATGTGATGCTTTTTTTTTTTTTTGTGCCACTCCACAGTACACAATGTTGAACAATTTATTATAAATTGAAGCGCACTCAAAATCGTAGATTAAAGAAATAATCCTGATTTGATTTCAGGCAATCTGTGACACACACAAACTAAATTTCTCATGTACGGATCATATTCTAAAGGAAAGAATTTCTGGGAAAGCAAAATATGATTTAACTAGTCCTTCCAAATCATGTAAATGTCTTAAAATAAAAGCAAACTTACCTTGAATTTTCAAAAACGCTGCCGTAAAGATGACTGATTTATTGGTCATTTTTTCACCACAGAAGTACAATCCAGAGTCAGAATAATCCACTTTCTTGATTGTGAGACATGTGATTGAATTATTTAATGTCATTGTGTATTTCTCTTTGTGCGCACCGCTGTAGAATGTAACTTTACTTTCTGAATCCAACATTGAGCAGATCTGAGTTGTGTCGTCGTTCATGTGGAACCACGATATGTGAACAGGAAAACGTAAAGGAGGAACGGAGCAACAGAGAGAAGCTTCTGCTCCTCGTTGGACCTCAGTGTTGGTCAAGTGAGAATATGTGTACGAGAGGAAGCCTGGACAAAAATACACACTCAAATTAAAATGGTTGAGTAAAAACATCAGTTTTGAACACAATTCCAACACTCACATGAGAGAACAAATAAAGTCCATGTGAAGTTCATTGTTGCACAAACACACACCGCTGCAAACTCAAGAGTTGAACTACTGAAAGACACAATGTGAATGGTATAAAACATTAGTGTGGATTATAGGCCCGTTATATTTGATGAAGTAAGTCATACTTTACCTGCTGCTCAGCTCTATTGACTCACTGTGTCTGTGAGAACGTCCTTGTCACGAGTGTACGAGCACAGAGAGCTTTGGAAATGCAACACATTAACCACAATCACTTTTACCAACTACAGTTGCGAACAAAATTATTCAACCCCCGCTGCACGTTCGGTTTATTGGTAAAATGTACAAACCAGCAGCTGTTTATAAAAATGAAATCAAACAACAACTGAAATAGCTCAACACAACTAATATTAGAAGTGGTCTCTACAAATTCAACACAAAATGCTACTTTTAATGACTGCAGTCTCAAAATGATTCAACCCTCTGAATAGATTTCTTCATAAGAGCACATTCTTTGCAGATCAGATGTGGGCTCAAGCACATCCAGATGTAACCGATCAAGTGCAGGACATAGAAGCCTTCAAATATCTGGACTGCTGATGGTTTGACATTTCATTGCATGTCAGTGTAACGGAGTTAAAAATGCACATGCTACTATTTTTTATTTTTTTTTATTTTATGTTTAATTTTAATTTATGTGAATTTTATTGTTTTAATGTTTTATTTTGAAAAACGGAAGTACTCCCACATGTTTTTTTTTTTTTTTTTTTTTTGATAGTTCAACTTCCCCTCTCAGTAGCCTGTTGGAGACTGCAGAGGGTAAGTTCTGTCTGAGGATAAAACTAATATATTTGATCAAAACCAGCGCACTTTTAACATAAAAACAAATACACATGGTGGTACATCTTTTCACGTGTGGTGAATGTGTTGTGGTGCGCTGGTTTGGAGTTTTGTATATTTTATTTGTATTGTAAAAGTCGGCTTAATGGGTAACACTTTATAATAACTACACCTTACTTAGCCTTAATAAAGCATGAACGAAGACTTAATTAATAATGAACAAAGATTTAATTAATAATGATTCACGCTTAGTAAATGCTTAATAAAGCATAATTTGTCTTCACTTTAGAAAAGCTCTCAAAAAGACTTAACTAACAGATAACAGCTGCCTGAATTATCATTGCACTGAATTATTAGTAAATCATTCTCTCATAGCTTACTAATCATTAATAAATGTAATAAATGGTAAGTACATGAGTAATTAAGTATGAAATAATTATGAGTAACTATTTACAGCACAGGCAAATGAAGTGCAAGTGCGAATTAAGGTAGTAATTAAGTAGTTACTAAGCGTGAATCATTATAAATTAAGTCTTTGTTCATTATTAATTAAACCTTTGTTCATGCTTTATTAAGGCTAAATAAGGTGTAGATATTGTAAAGTGTTACCGCTTAATGTCATAGCCTAGTGCTGAATGCTGCGAAAATGAACGTCCATCTCATGGTGCTGGTTTCATTCTTGCAGAGGGAAGCCAGTGCTGATACCCAGAGACATATTAATAGAGTATTTATATGTCACAGGAATAAAGTGGACTGACTCCACATTGTGTCCTGTCTTCTGTATACGGCCTGACAAAGAATCTGCAACCGTTACATTAGAAATATGGCTAAATCAATAGAATAGTCCAAAAAGTTCATAAAAGAGATCATTGTCTTGCACAAACAAGGAAAATGATACAGAAGTATAGCAAAGGCACTGAATGTTTCTAGAGGGAAGCAGAGTTTGAAAGTTTAAAGTTAAAGGAACAGTGGCTACAAGACCTGGACATGGCAGAAAGAGGAAACTATCAACAGCTGCAACCAGAGTCCTGAGGATTCAGGTAGTAAGAAACTCTCGACTGACTGCAAAAGACCTGCAGCAAGACCTGGTGGCAGAGAGAGTTCCATGTCCGATAATACTAACCCAAAAGTACAAGAAAAGTCAGCTCCAGTTTGCTCAAAACTATATAAATAAGCCAAAGAGGTTTTGAGATTCTGTTTGGAACTTTTTGGGTCTATGGATCAGTGGTACGTCTGGAGGAGTTAAAATGAAGATGTGCTGAACAGAACACCCTGCCTACAGTGAAGCATGGCAGTGGCTCAGTGATGCTCTGGGGCTGCTTCACTTCCTCTGGCTCTGGAAACCTGCAGCATGTGGACGGCAAGATCAAGTATCAGGAAATCCTGGGAGAAAATCTCATGCCATCTATGAGGAAACTGAAGGTTGGACATCATTGGACCTTCCAACAGGACAGTGATCCTAAGCATACCTCAAAGTCCACTAAGGCTTGGTTTCAGAAGATGTCCTGGAAGATACTACAGTGGCCATCACAGTCACCTGACTTGAACTCCACTGAAAATCTCTGATGGGATTTGAAAAAGGTGGTTGCAGCAAGCAAACCCAAGAATATTCATGAACTAGAGGCCTTTGTCCATGAGGAACGGGCTAAGATTCCTCAGCAACGCTGCCAGAAGCTGGTGTCTGGCTATGCCTCACATTTAGCAGGTCATAACAGCAAAAGGTGCTCTACTAAGTACTAAAGATGCTTGTCATGAAAGAGTTGAATCATTTTGACACTGCAGTAGTCATTAAAAGAAGCATTTTATGTTAAATTTGGAAAAAAAAACACTTGTAATATAATTTGTGTTGAGCTGTTTAAATTGTTCTTGTTTGATTTCTGTTTTGTAAACATCTGCTAGTTTGTACATTTTACAAATAAAAACCTAATTTGCAGTGGGGGTTGAATAATTTTGATTGCAACTATAGATTCAGTGCCATATATATATATATATATATATATATATATATATATATATATATAGTATATATATATATATATATACACACACATACAGATACACACATACATACATACACACATACATGTAGCCATCTCTAAATTTTCTTATGTTGTTTTATTATTTTATTGTGTATTATCATTAAGACTGTTGGCGTTGATCACACGGGTTGCTTCCGTGCACAGTGCTGGTGGCTCAGAGCAGGTTTCAGTGAGAGCTGTGTGACCAGCAACATGTGGAAAAAACAAAGCCACAGCACATAAATAATTCTGTCTAACCACAGTGCATCTGATTTTAAACTTGCCTCAAATAAAATAGCCTTCCTGTTGTAATACATCTCAAATACTGCATTATGTGTATTATTTTTGTGCTGTAAAAACACAACTAACAAATCTGGAGTTCCACATTTATTGCAAAGTTCTTTTCTGTGCAAGCTTCCATTATTGTAGACACTGTTGACTGTCATAAAATCCTCTTATATGATTTGGAGCTGGACTGTGACTTTTGCACCTAGAACATCCTAGGAATCTGAACCACACTGGAATCCGTTGTAGGGCTCCATCTTGTGGCAGCAGAGGGAATTACCGTGGGGAAAAAAATGAATGTAAACCATACAGTTGTGAGGCAAGGTACATTTATTTATATGGCAGGATCGGCACAGAAAGTAAATCAAAGTGTTTTGTGCAATAAAAAAGACATTAAACTCACAATGTTGGTTTTCAGATTGTAAAATGTGATGATGTCATACTCTCAACAGTTGTCTCCTTTGATTACCTTTGTACTTTTTGCCATGAAATATCCAAATGTAAAGGAACAAATGTTAAACCTGGTCTATTATTGAACTAGTTGGACTTAGTTGTGGGCCAGCAGTGCATATTCTAGTTGCGTATTGTTGCTGTGTCCTTTGGCAAGACCCATCTTACCCAGTGTGAGTGTGGTGTGTGAGTAGGCGATTAGTGCTAGTGATGTGTCGTCCGTGTCGAGCCTTTGAAGCGTGTGTCGAGTAATCCAGGAAGGCTTTGGTGAAGCGAGTATCGAGGCTTGTATCGATGACGTATGTGGTGACGTTCAGAAGCCTCGCAAACCGCTTGTACCATGTGACTGCTTCAGGAAGTGGTTCATGGATTTGGCACACGATTCAAACATAAGGGCGGCGAAACACAATGGATTCCCCAAAAACATTTGTGGTTTTAGGTTATTGCGAGTTTGCGTAACATTTTATTTGAGATTCTTTTTTTTTTTTTTTGGAGCCAGCAAAGAAAAAGAATATTTTCACCCTTTTTGGGAGCATTTTGAGCCTGATATTCCCTAATAAGGTTTATAGTAATAATGACATTCATTAAAGCGGACAGTTCAGAATTTTGGTACATAGGGTCTCATTTCCTTGTGAGCCAGAATGCTGGAGACGTGTGGAGACACTTTTTGAAATAATCCATGCCAGTCCTTGTATTTGCAGAGGTTGTTGATGCTAGGCTAGTGCAAGTCAATGGCCACTGTTAGCCTGCCACTAAAAACAGTCTTACCCACTCCACAAAACACCCAAAGTAAATCTATTAATACACAAGACTGTCCATGTGAATGTCTGTGTCAAATAAAATAAAATTTTAGAAGTAAAATTAAACCTTGTATCACATGAATCGTTTGCACGTTGAGGGACTTATTTTCTCATCAGCAGCAGAATTTTACTCTGCTCTAGTTTGTTGTGTTGATATGAACCGTGGCTATAACTGGGAACAGACTTATTCATGTGCTCTATGTGTCGCTATGGCAGCTGCAGGTAAACAAACTATTACAGAGTCAGTTGGTGCCATGTGGTATCAGTCCGCTGCTGCCAAGCTTTTTATCAGGAAGAACAACTCACTGCTGCTGCTCAGACAGAAATTCTTCAAATGAAAGGTTGGTTTTACTTCTAAAATTACACAGACTTTCACATGGACAGTCTGGTGTAATAACAGATTTGATTTGGGTGTTTTGTGGAGTGGGTAAGACTGTTTTTAGAGGCAGGATAACTATGGCCATTGACTTGCGCTAGTCTAGCACCAGCGACCTCTGCAAATACAAGGACTGGATGGATTATTTCAAAAAGTGTCTCCACATATCTACAGTACTCTGGCTCACATGGAAATGAGGCCCTATGTCCAAAATTCCAAACTATCCCTTTAAATATACAATATTACTAAATACACAAATTTGACAACACAGTGTTTCACCTGCTCTAATATACTGTATTTCTTGTAAAAAAAAAAAAAAAAAAGATCAGGTACAACATTTGTGAATTTAACTGTCTCTTGCCTCCATTTGAGAATATGGCATCATCACATTCTACAATCTGAAAAATACCAATAGTAGTCGTTCAAAGGCATATGAACCCTAACCGATACATATCTGATCTTTTGACATGCGACTTCAGTCTGAATGGCCAAAGCTCATCCATCCACCTACACCTTATCAACAAGCCACAAACGTCACTATTCTGCGCTGAAGTAGGAGAAAATTGTTAATGAACTCTGTGGCACTGAAGTGAAGCACATCTCCACTCACCACTCTTGGCTCCGTCTCCACATCCACACGTTCCTTTCAATGGACGTCGCTGCCGCTGCCCCACAAAACACCACGGCCAAAAACCTCGTCCTTCTCCTTCTCAATCTCCTCCTTAAAACAAGTAAGTTGTTCATGTTCTGGCTCCAGTACGAGAGGAACTTTAAAATCTCCAGGTGCTCGATGCTGCGTCCATGTTTGGACAACTTCTGTAAACACAGAGCACGCTCACTGTGGTTGACGTCGTCGTGTCTCCAGTGAACATGCGGGACACTTTCGGGCCGTTTAATGTTCACACTGGAGTCACATACAAGTCACATTTAATTGGAAATGTGAACGACCTCGCAAAAACATCGGATTTCACAAAAAAATTGGAATTGAGCATTAAGACCTGCAGTCTGAACGTAGCTGATGTTATAGTTTATCTGAAGAACTGTTCATATGTGACGTTAACAGTCTGTTGTTCTCTCTTCTATTGTTATTACTTGATTTTCAACAGGAAATGTCGGTTCCTGAGCTCTGATTTTTTAAAATAAAGTGCAACTTATAGTCCGGTGTGACTTACATGTATTTTTCTTCTTTATTATGGATTTTTTGGCTGGTGTGACTTATACTGAGTGTAAGTGTAAAATTCATGTGCATTATTTGTCATGTAGAATAGTGGTTTGTTTCATAGTGCTGTGGCGTGGTTAGTCTCTGTGATGAAGGCTCCTGAGTGTTGTTCCTCAAGCTGTTTACCTGTGAAAATGGTGTGTGCCCCCCACCCCCAGTGTCTCCCCGTGCTGAGGCAGGCTGGTGCAGGGGAACTGTGTAGGTCTAAAGCACAAATGTGTCAGAGACGATGACTGTGGTCCACCGCAGACACATGACCACTATATGACCTGTATTTGGAACAAAACCAGTGTTTTTTCTCTTGATAACATCATCAGACATGGGTAAACAAAATGTCATTTATGTATGGAAACTAAATTCACTTTGTCATAATGCAACTCCTCTTCCATGCAATTATTATTTGAAAATGACAATAAAAAAACAGTCTCTTTAGTTACATATGGAATATTTTAATGTTTTTAGAATACAGCTTGATCATGCAAAAGCCAAGTCCAGCTCCAATCATACAAGAGGATTTTATGACAGTCAACAGTGTAAACATAAAAATGGAACTTGAACACAAAAGAACTTTGCAATAAATGTGGAACTCCAGATTTGTTAGTTGTGTTTTTACAGGACAAAAATAAGACACATAATGCAGTATTTGAGACATATTACAACAGGAAGGCTGTTTTATTTGAGGCAAGTTTAAAATCAAGTGCACTGTGGTTAGACAGAATTATTTATGTGCTGTGGCTTTGTTTTTTCCACATGTCGCTGGTCACGCGACTCGCACCGAAACCTGCTCTGAACCACCAGCACTGTGCTTCAATTTATGCCTGATGATAACACACACACACACACACACACACACACACACACACACACACACACACACACACACACACACACACACACACACACACACACACACACACACACACACACACACACACAAAAAAACAATAAAAAACAGTATTATTGTTTAGACAGAAGTGGCTGTTCATGGTGAGTTTATCTCGTGGCTTCGTACAACACATTGGGTTGTAGCTCTTTGTTCAAAGTCCTCTTTGTTCGGAAATTGATTTTGGCATACGTCAGTTCAGTGGATTCAAAATTCTGCAATTTAATCATGACATCCAGATTATTTAAATGTATATGTATAAAAAAAAAACAATCAAGCAATGAATGTTTTATCAGGCACACATGTTTACCTTATTATCTTCTTGGTCTTCTTCTCTTTTGGGAATGTACCCTTAATGAAAATAATAAAAATAAAATTAAATTATATCATTATCATATATATATATATATATATATTATATATATATATATATATATATATATATATATATATATATATATATATATATATATATATATATATATATATATATGCAGCACGACTGCTGACAAGGACCAGGAAGCGAGAGCACATCACCCCAGTACTGAAGTCTCTGCACTGGCTTCCTGTGAGCTTCAGGATAGATTTTAAAGTTCTTTTATTAGTTTATAAAGCTCTTAATGGTCTTAGTCCTATTTATTTATCTGATCTGCTTTTATCATATGAGCCTCTCGGACTCTCAGGTCTTCAGGTAGTCTTCATTTAACTGTCCCAAGAGTCCAGACTAAAACTCACGGTGAGGCGTCATTCAGCTTTTATGGCCCCCGTTTGTGGAACAGTCTGCCTGAGGATCTGAGGTCCGCTGCGAGTGTTCATATTTTTAAAAGTAAGCTCAAAACCTATCTTTTTAATTTAGCTTTTAATTGAAACTTTTATCTGTCTTAACTTAAATTATTATTATTATTATTATATTATTATTATTATTATTATTATTATTATTATTATTATTATTATTATTATTATTATATTTATTTATTCTAAATTAAATTATCATTACTGTTTTACTTTGTCTCCATTTTTGATTTTTATAATAACCTTTAGGAGTTTTATGTTTTTGTTTTTATGTTTATGTTTAAATGGTTGTATATATGGATGAAACAAAGGGATGGGGTGGGAATGTACCCTTAATTTGAAAATAATAAAAATAAAATAATATCATATCATATATATATATATATATATATTAATATATATATATATATATATATATATAATATATATATATATATATATATATATATATATATATATATATATGAAGGAGAAAATCGAGCATCGAGCTCCTCATCAAATCTGAGTTTTATGATTTTTGTGAAAAAAAAAAAAAAAAAAAAAACACCATAATTTAAAGATTATTCAGAATTATTGACCCCAGGACCACACAGCGAACTCTAAAATGTTCCTTCATCAGTAATGGAATGAAAGAACAGTTTAGATTTCACTCTGTGACCTGGTTGATGTTGATGAACTGTCTGAAGGATAAAGTCAATTTGAAGTGACATAAACAGAACAAAATGCACTACATGAAGTGTAATTACTGACTTAATTTTGATGATAAATAATCAAGACCTGTCATCTTGTACTATTATTGTACAAAGCCCTTAAATGTGCAAACAAAAATATTCTAAATTCTGAAATGGAGGCAACAAGAAACAAAAATGAAGTGTTCATCTACAGACAAATTACACATTTCATCATAAATTATACTTTTTCAGAATTTTAAATACAATTTTGAGGTTTTATTTTTTATTTTATTTTTCCATCCTTCTTAAAGGGAAGAAAATTAACTCACACATGTACCTTGAAAAAGATAAATTGTTTTCTTCTTGTCAGAATGCCGTAACCATTCACATTCAGCTCTGTTCATCGGTGAAAATATATTATGTATATACTATAAAATATATTCTGTATATATTATAAAATATATTCTGTATATATTATAAAATATATTCTGTATATATTATCAAATATATTCTGTATATATTATAAAATATATTATGTATATATTATAAAATATATTATGTCTGCTTCACTTTGGCTGCAGTTGCCTCTATTCCAGACTCTGAACATTCTGATGACAGAGTTTTAAACGGTCTGTTGTGACCTGAATAATCACAGTTATCGATGACTTTAATATTCTTCACATCCCAGCAAGTACGTGAGCTGAGGAGGAGGAACCATCTCCCACAAGAAGAAACATTTTACTTCTATTTAGCTTATAACAAATATTTATTTACAGTGTAGCCCCTAATGACTAGACTCAATATAATAATAAATATCAATAAATATCAATATAATAATAAATATCAATATAATAATACATAAATAATACACACACACATTCATTTTTAAAAGATTACTTACCTTTTGATAGTTGATGAATTTTAAGAATAAGGCCACCAACAAGCAAGACGAGAAGAACAATTACACCAGACATGACTGGAATAATGACTGGGTTGAATAGTTTGGTGTTGTTTTCTACTGGAAAAGAAACAAATATGTCAAAGGGAGTTGAAAATCACAAGACGTTTAGAGGATGTAACACTTTTTATATTTGTCCTGAAGTGTGACACTTTATTATTATTATTATTATTATTATTATTTTTATTTATTTATTTATTTATTTATTTTTTAATTGTGCAAAAAGCAAAACATTTGGTAATTTTACTGTTAAGCTGTTCCCCCCATTCACCACATTTTGGAATTTGAACTGTCTGTTGTGTTTATTTAACGAAGGTCAGGTCGGAAACAACAGTCTCAACTTTAATAAATATGTAATGCTTATTTTACAAAATAATATGTCGATAACTGTGCCCTTAACTCCAGAACTCTTCCTGTGAATCAGATTTAGTTTGGTTCAAAAATGTAAATATATGTTATATATAAAAGAACATGTTCCAAAAGCAAACTTACCTTGAATTTTTAAAACCACCGCCGTAAAGATGACAGATTTATTGTTCATTTTTTCACCACAGAAGTACAATCCAGAGTCAGAATAATCCACTTTCTGGATTGTGAGACATGTGATTGAATTATTTAATGTCATTGTGTATTTCTCTTTGTGCGCACCGCTGTAGAATGTAACTTTACTTTTTGAATCTAACATTGAGCAGATCTGAGTTGTGTCGTCGTTCATGTGGAACCAAGATATGTGAACAGGAAAAAGTAAAGGAGGAACGGCACAACAGAGAGAAGCTTCTGCTCCTCGTTGGACCTCAGTGTTGGTCAAGTGAGAATATGTGTACGAGAGGAAGCCTGGACAAAAATACACACTCAAATTAAAATGGTTGAGTAAAAACATCAGTTTTGAACACAATTCCAACACTCACATGAGAGAACAAATAAAGTCCATGTGAAGTTCATTGTTGCACAAACACACACCGCTGCAAACTCAAGAGTTGAACTACTGAAAGACACAATGTGAATGGTATAAAACATTAGTGTGGATTATAGGCCCGTTATATTTGGTGAAGTAAGTCATACTTTACCTGCTGCTCAGCTCTATTGACTCACTGTGTCTGTGAGAACGTCCTTGTCACGAGTGTACGAGCACAGAGAGCTTTGGAAGTGCAACACATTAACCACAATCACTTTAACCAACTAGACTGAGAGTCACTGTGTTATCTGAGATCTGTGCTCTAGCACAGTGGAAGTGGCTTTCACCTCTAGATGATATACATGTGTTTATTGTTGGGGGTTGTCAAGGTGACAGGTCAGATGTCTGAGCTCTTCAGGAGTTGGCCTCACCACACACAATCACTTCAACATCTGAACAGATCAAAACACAACTCTCACATGTTCTGCATCAGATCAGTAAAGTAAAAGTGTGTGGATTTGACTAACCAGACTTTTCTGTAGCTGCATCCAATACTGAACCTGATGTTTTGGAGGTCACTTTAAAATCTCATTTTACTGCATTAAGATTTGATATTTTGCTCAGATAATGTCTGAGAAGCTTGTATATTTTCATCGTGGCACTGGCTGAGCTGAGGAGCAGCTTGAGGAGCAGGTTTCAGATGGAGGGGGCTGAATGTGGACTGATGTGGTTTGAAGAGTGTCTCAAGCTCAAATCAGTGCACAAGTGTATTTTGGGGCTGGAGAGATTTGCGTCTGTGCACTACTGCACATGCTCAGAGCACTGAAGCTTAGAAAACTCTCTCATTGCACTGTTGTTTCTTAGGCACAATTTAGAAATAATTTTCTAACTTTATATTTCTCTGTCTTGACACTGATCATTTATAATTGAAATATACATTTATTGTCAGCCTAATCAAAAAGTAAACTATTGATTTAGTAAAATAATGCTGACATTACATTATGAATATATATAACATCACATTATATTGTTAAAGAGGCCTAAAATGAACCTTTTTAAAGGCGCCGTGTCTCTGTAAAAACAGTGTAAATGCTTCCGACTGAAAGACTCATATGTTTCCACCGGTGGTCCTCAGTCAAAAGTTTGGACACCTCTGCTTTAGAGAGCTCCTAGTCTGCCGTTGCTTTTTGTTTCTCCTTTTTTCTATAGTTTTTTTACCCACTCAGCTGCAGATGATGTTAGAGATGTCTTAAGTGGCCTTGGGTGTTGATAATGTCTGTGGACTCTCCTCTCAATACGTTTGTACACGTCACTCTGCAGAATCAATACATTCAGTGTCCACTGCATGAAGATCTCTCTATGAACAAAGATCCTGTCACACAAACAGACACAGCTTTGGTGGTGCTGTTCCTTTTTGTTCATTTATTTAAATGTATTTTTTCCCAGATCAATTCAATCTAGTAACTCTCATCATGCCTCAAATACAAAGACTTGTTTGTTTGATACAAGATACAAGATGATCACAGACTGGACATGTAGCTCCATCTAGTGGACACATATGTTAGATACATTACACACAACGTCTATGACTTTGTTTTATCTAGACATGGTCAGTAAAGCACCTCACTCTCCCCTCAGGACCATCAAAACCTCTGGAGGAAGTGAAGAAGTTCAAATACTTAGGATCATGGGTTCAGTCCACAGATCAAGACAAATTAGAAAAGCTCCTCCCTGGAAAGCACTCAACAAAATGTCACTGGAAAATCTAGCACAAAAAGTCAAACTAGAGAACAGTGTTGAATATCAAATGGCAGGTTCATTTTCCAAACAGTGCTGCACATAAACTTTTATTAAATAATTAATCATTGCATTTATACAGCGCCTTTCAAGACGCCCAAAGCACTTTACACTTCATTATTCATTCACTCAACGGTGGTAAACTACTACTGTAGCCACAGCTGCCCTGGGGCAGACTGACGGAAGCGAGGCTGCCAATCTGTGCCATTGGCCCCTCCAACCACCAACACACACACACACACACGCGCACGCACACCACTTTCATACAATGTGGTTGAAGTGTTTTTCCTAAGGACACAACAACAGTTTGTGCCTCTGGTGCCCCCCTGTGGCACCTGGAATTCCCAGAGAATACTTTGACAAACATGCACTCTTACTCTGAGGTGCATTCTTACTCCAAACATCTCACCTGTAGCTTGGCCTGTTGGCATCACATACAAGCAGGTGGTGGACCAGAGGTTACATAATGAAGCTTTAATGTTAAAAATCTATTAACAATGATATATTATTACAATGACAGAGCCAAGTAACGTTCAAATAATATTGCATTTAAAAGGTGTAGAAGATTGTGCTGTTTATCCAGTTGTAACTTTTCTCCACTGTAAGTGTTAAGGAAAATAAGGCTACATTTAGACTGCAGGGCTTTAACGCTCAATTCCGATTTTTTTGTGAAATCCGATGTTTTTGTGAGGTTGTTCACATTTCCAATTAAATGTGACTTGTATGTGACTCCAGTGTGAACATTAAACGGCCCAAAAGTGTCCCGCATGTGCACTGGAGACACGACGACGTCAACCGCAGTGAGCGTGCTCTGTGTTTACAGAAGTTGTCCAAACATGGACGCAGCATTGAGCACCTGGAGATTTTAAAGTTCCTCTTGTTGTTTTAAGGAGGAGATTGAGAAGGAAAAGGATGAGGTTTTTTGGTCGTGGTGTTTTGTGGGACAGCGGCAGCGATGTCCATTGAAAGGAACATGTGGATGTGGAGACGTAGCCAAGAGTGGTGAGTGGTGATGTGCTTCACTTCAGTGACATGGAGTTCATTAACAATTTTCACCGACTTCAGCGCAGAATAGTGACGTTTGTGGCTTGTTGATAACGTGTAGGTCAGATGAATCCGCTTTGGCCGTTCAGACTGAAGTCACATGTCAAAAGATCAGATATGTATCAGTTTCAGGAGCACATATCCAAGTGTCCTGGGTCACATTTGAAAAAATCAGATCTGTGTCATTCAGACTGTCATTAAAAGATCAGATACAGGTCACATAGAGGCCAAAAAATCGGATTTGGGTCACTTCAGGCTGCAGTCTGAAAGCAGCCTTAGTGTTGTCCTAAAGAATAGTTATACAAAGGCAGAGACTCTGGAGTGTGAGGCAGGAGAAGTTTATTTACCATCAGTCCAGGACGCGGTGAACTTGAATACACTTCACGTTAGTATTGATTATTCGAGACTGACTCTGCTTCCACACAAGGAGGTTTAAATAGGACGTAAGAAGGACAGGCTGGCTGAGAAAAAATTAGAAGAGTGTAGCAGACCGATTCTGAAATGACCAAGAAAACTGATAATGTTTCAGAAGAACAAATTCTGTAATAATAGTTGGATGATGCCAGCGTTAACCTCAGAGAAATGTCAATAATGAACTGGGGGGTTGAGGCACAAAGTGGTTTAATGTACATTTCTGAGAGCGTGACAGGACCACCTCCTAGAATCTGAAAACAACTCACAAATAAACAACACAAAGACGGTTTGCAGAGAAACAGAGGCCAGTGTGGTGCAGTCTGTGTGAGAGAGAAAAACCCACAGCCTCTGTCCACACTGTGTTCACTACAGGCACAAGCTCTTTCACTTCAACACTTCATTTAAAAATACACTTCATGCTCAGACTTTGATGTTGTTAACTCAGCCTACACAAAATGGAGTTGTATATCAGATGTATTTGCTGCAGTAGAAGTGCATATGGCAGCCTATTTATACTATTCATTTCACTAAACACATCATAATGCAACTCCTCTTCCGTGCAATTATTATTTAAAAATGATAATAAAAAAAACAAAACAGTCTCTTTGGTTACATTTGGAATATTTTAATGTTTTTAGAATGCTGCTTGAACATGCAAAAGCCAAGTCCAGCTCCAATCAGACAGGAGGATTTTATGACAGTCAACAGTGTAAACATAAAAATGGAGCTTTGCAATAAATGTGGAACTCCAGATTTGTTAGTTGTGTTTTTATAGCACAAAAATAAGACACATAATGCAGTATTTCAGATGTATTACAACAGGAAGGCTATTTTATTTGAGGCAAGTTTAAAATCAAGTGCACTGTGGTTAGAGTTAGAATTATTTATGTGCTGTGGCTTTGTTTTTTCCACATGTTGCTGGTCACGTGACTCGCACCGAAACCTGCTCTGAACCACCAGCACTGTGCTTCAATTTATGCCTGATGATAACACACACACACACACACACACACAGACACACACAGACACACAGACACACACACACACACACACACGCACACGCACACGCACACACACACACACACACACACACACACACACACACACACACACATAAAAAACAGTATTATTGTTTAGACAGAAGTGGCTGTTCATGGTGAGTTTATCTCGTGGCTTCGTACAACACATTGGGTTGTAGCTCTTTGTCTGAAGTCCTGTTTGTTTGGAAGTAGATTTTGGCATACGTCAGTTCAGTGGAGTCCAAATTCTGCAATTTAATCATGACATCCAGATTATTTAAATGTATATGTATAAAAAAAAACAATCAAGCAATGAATGTTTTATCAGGCACACATGTTTACCTTATTATCTTCTTGTTCTTCTTCTCTTTTGGGAATGTACCCTTAATGAAAATAATAAAAATAAAATAAAATAATATCATTAAAATATCATGTGTGTATATATATATATATATATATATATATATATATATATATATATATATATATATATATATATATAGAGAGAGAGAGAGAGAGAGAGAGAGAGAGAGATAGTAATGGAATGAAAGAACAGTTTAGATTTCACTCTGTGACCTGGTTGATGTTGATGAACTGTCTGAAGGATAAAGTCAATTTGAAGTGACATAAACAGAACAAAATGCACTACATGAAGTGTAATTACTGACTTAATTTTGATTATAAATAATCAAGACCTGTCATCTTGTACTATTATTGTACAAAGCCCTTAAATGTGCAAACAAAAATATTCTAAATTCTGAAATGGAGGCAACAAGAAACAAAAATGAAGTGTTCATCTACAGACAAATTACACATTTCATCATAAATTCAACTTTTTGTGAAGCTTAAATACAATTTTGAGGTTTTATTTTTTATTTTATTTTCCCATCCTTCTTAAAGGGAAGAAAATTACACATGTACCTTGAAAAAGATAAATTGTTGTTTCTTCTTTTCAGAATGCCGTAAATATTCACATTTAACTCTGTTCATCGGTGAAAAGATATTATGTATATATTATAAAATCTATTATGTATATATTATCAAATATATTATGTCGACTTCACTTTGGCTGCAGTTGCCTCTATTCCAGACTCTGAACATTCTGATGACAGAGTTTTAAACGGTCTGTTGTGACCTGAATAATCACAGTTATCGATGACTTTAATATTCTTCACATCCCAGCAAGTACGTGAGCTGAGGAGGAGGAACCATCTCCCACAAGAAGAAACATTTTACTTCTATTTAGCTTATAACAAATATTTATTTACAGTATAGCCCCTAATGACTAGACTCAATATAATAATAAATATCAATATAATAATAAATATCAATGTAATAATAAATAAATAATACACACACACATTCATTTTTAAAAGATTACTTACCTTTTGATAGTTGATGAATTTTAAGAATAAGGCCACCAACAAGCAAGACGAGAAGAACAATTACACCAGACATGACTGGAATAATGACTGGGTTGAATAGTTTGGTGTTGTTTTCTAGTGGAAAAGAAACAAATATGTCAAAGGGAGTTGAAAATCACAAGACGTTTAGAGGATGTAACACTTTTTATATTTGTCCTGCCGTGTGACACTTATGTTTTTTTTAATTGTGCAAAAAGCAAAACATATTTTTGGTACTTTTACTGTTCCCCCCATTCACCACATTTTGGAATTTGAAGTGTCTGTTGTGTTTATTTAACAAAGGTCAGTGTTTAATCAGAAACAATAGTCTCAACTTTAATAAATATGTAATGCTTATTTTACAAAATAATATGTTGATAACTGTGCCCTTAACTCTAGAACTCTTCCTGTGAATCAGATTTAGTTTCCTCTGTTGAAGTGTGCCATACTTTGTGTAAAACTGTCCTTTATCAGTTGGTATGAAGTCAATTATTGTTTGACTTCATACCAAGTGGTTTAGACACAAGTATTTTGGTCCCCTAAAAACACTTTGTTCAAAAATGTAAATATATGTTATATATAGAAGAACATGTTCCAAAAGCAAACTTACCTTGAATTTTTAAAAATGTCGCCGTAAAGATGACAGATTTATTGGTCATTTTTTCACCACAGAAGTACAATCCAGAGTCAGAATAATCCACTTTCTTGATTGTGAGACATGTGGTTGAATTATTTAATGTCACTGTGTATTTCTCTTTGTGCGCACCGCTGTAGAATGTAACTTTACTTTTTGAATCTAACATTGAGCAGATCTGAGTTGTGTCGTCGTTCATGTGGAACCACGATATGTGAACAGGAAAAAGTAAAGGAGGAACGGAGCAACAGAGAGAAGCTTCTGCTCCTCGTTGGACCTCAGTGTTGGTCAAGTGAGAATATGTGTACGAGAGGAAGCCTGGACAAAAATACACACTCAAATTAAAATGGTTGAGTAAAAACATCAGTTTTGAACACAATTCCAACACTCACATGAGAGAACAAATAAAGTCCATGTGAAGTTCATTGTTGCACAAACACACACCGCTGCAAACTCAAGAGTTGAACTACTGAAAGACACAATGTGAATGGTATAAAACATTAGTGTGGATTATAGACCCGTTATATTTGATGAAGTAAGTCATACTTTACCTGCTGCTCAGCTCTATTGACTCACTGTGTCTGTGAGAACGTCCTTGTTACGAGTGTACGAGCACAGATGATGGATGGATTGGATGATGCCAGCGTTAACCTCAGAGAAATGTCAATAATGAACTGGGGGGTTGAGGCACAAAGTGGTTTAATGTACATTTCTGAGAGCGTGACAGGACCACCTCCTAGAATCTGAAAACAACTCACAAATAAACAACACAAAGACGGTTTGCAGAGAAACAGAGGCCAGTGTGGTGCAGTCTGTGTGAGAGAGAAAAACCACAGCCTCTGTCCACACTGTGTTCACTACAGGCACAAGCTCTTTCACTTCAACACTTCATTTAAAAATACACTTCATGCTCAGACTTTGATGTTGTTAACTCAGCCTACACAAAATGGAGTTGTATATCAGATGTATTTGCTGCAGTAGAAGTGCATATGGCAGCCTATTTATACTATTCATTTCACTAAACACATCATAATGCAACTCCTCTTCCGTGCAATTATTATTTGAAAAATGATAATAAAAAAAAACAAAACAGTCTCTTTGGTTACATTTGGAATATTTTAATGTTTTTAGAATGCTGCTTGAACATGCAAAAGCCAAGTCCAGCTCCAATCAGACAAGAGGATTTTATGACAGTCAACAGTGCAAACATAAAAATGGAGCTTTGCAATAAATGTGGAACTCCAGATTTGTTAGTTGTGTTTTTACAGCACAAAAATAAGACATATAATGCAGTATTTGAGATGTATTGCAACAGGAAGGCTGTTTTATTTGAGGCAAGTTTAAAATCAAGTGCACTGTGGTTAGAGTTAGAATTATTTATGTGCTGTGGCTTTGTTTTTTCCACATGTCGCTGGTCACGCGACTCGCACCGAAACCTGCTCTGAACCACCAGCACTGTGCTTCAATTTATGCCTGATGATAACACACACACACACACACACACACGCACACACACACACACACACAGACACGCACACAGACACACACACACACACACACAGACACACACACACACACACACAGACACACACACACACACACACACACAGAAACACACACACACAGACACACACACAGACACACAGACACACACACACACACACACAAACACAAACAACAATAAAAAAACAGTATTATTGTTTAGACAGAAGTGGCTTTTCATGGTGAGTTTATCTTATGGCTTCGTACAACACATTGGGTTGTAGCTCATTGGCATACGTCAGTTCAGTTGATTCAAAATTCTGCAATTTAATCATGACATCCAGATTATTTAAATGTATATGTATAAAAAAAACAATCAAGCAATGAATGTTTTATCAGGCACACATGTTTACCTTATTATCTTCTTGTTCTTCTTCTCTTTTGGGAATGTACCCTTAATGAAAATAAGTTATAAAATTAAATTATATCATAAAATTATCATATATATAGATGATAATTTAATGATATATATAGACAGAGTTTTAAACGGTCTGTTGTGACCTGAATAATCACAGTTATCTATGACATTAATATTCTTCACATCCCAGCAAGTACGTGAGCTGAGGAGGAGGAACCATCTCCCACAAGAAGAAACATTTTACTTCTATTTAGCTTATAACAAATATTTATTAACAGTATAGCCCCTAATGACTAGACTCAATATAATAATAAATATCAATATAATAATAAATAAATAATACACACACACATTCATTTTTAAAAGATTACTTTACCTTTTGATAGTTGATGAATTTTAAGAATAAGGCCACCAACAAGCAAGACGAGAAGAACAATTACACCAGACATGACTGGAATAATGACTGGGTTGAATAGTTTGGTGTTGTTTTCTAGTGGAAAAGAAACAAATATGTCAAAGGGAGTTGAAAATCACAAGACGTTTAGAGGATGTAACACTTTTTATATTTGTCCTGCCGTGTGACACTTATGTTTTTTTTTTTTATTGTGCAAAAAGCACAATACTTTTACTGTTCCCCCCATTCACCACATTTTGGAATTTGAAGTGTCTGTTGTGTTTATTTAATGAAGGTCAGTGTTTAATCAGAAACAATAGTCTCAACTTTAATAAATATATAATGCTTATTTTACAAAATAATATGTTGATAACTGTGCCCTTAACTCTAGAACTCTTCCTGTGAATCAGATTTAATTTTCTCTGTTGAAGTGTGCCATATTTTGTGTAAAACTGTCCTTTATCAGTTGGTATGAAGTCAATCATTGTTTGACTTCATACCAAGAGGTTTAGACACAAGTATTTTGGTCCCCTAAAAACACTTTGTTCAAAAATGTAAATATATGTTTTATATAGAAGAACATGTTCCAAAAGCAAACTTACCTTGAATTTTTAAAAACGTAGCCGTAAAGATGACAGATTTATTGTTCATATTTTCACCACAGAAGTACAATCCAGAGTCAGAATAATCCACTTTCTGGATTGTGAGACATGTGATTGAATTATTGAATGTCATTGTGTATTTCTCTTTGTGCGCACCGCTGTGGAATGTAACGTTACTTTCTGAATCTAACATTGAGCAGATCTGAGTTGTGTCGTCGTTCATGTGGAACCACGATGTGTGAACGGGAAAGTTTAAAAAAGGAACAGAGCAACAGAGAGAAGCTTCTGCTCCTCGTTGGACCTCAGTGTTGGTCAAGTGAGAATATGTGTACGAGAGGAAGCCTGGACAAAAATACACACTCAAATTAAAATGGTTGAGTAAAAACAGCATCAGTTTTGAACACAATTCCAACACTCACATGAGAGAACAAATAAAGTCCATGTGAAGTTCATTGTTGCACAAACACACACCGCTGCAAACTCAAGAGTTGAACTACTGAAAGACACAATGTGAATGGTATAAAACATTAGTGTGGATTATAGGCCCGTTATATTTGATGAAGTAAGTCATACTTTACCTGCTGCTCAGCTCTATTGACTCACTGTGTCTGTGAGAACGTCCTTGTCACGAGTGTACGAGCACAGATGATGGATGGATTGGATGATGCCAGCGTTAACCTCAGAGAAATGTCAATAATGAACTGGAGGGTTGAACTGGAGGGTCACAAATAAACAACACAAAGATGGTTTGCAGAGAGGCCAGAGTGTTGCAGTCTGTGTGTGAGAGAAAAACCACAACCTCTGACCACACTGTGTTCACTACAGGCACAAGCTCTTTCACTTCAACACCTTTTACAAAAATACACTTCATGCTCAGACTTTGATGTTGTTAACTCAGCCTACACAAAATGGAGTTGTATATCAGATGTATTTGCTGCAGTAGAAGTGCATAATATGTATATATAGTTACACTGTTCATTTCACTGAACACAGTTAACATTTTAATTGAGCTGCAACAATTCATTGACGTAATAGACAACGTTGACACAGAAAATATGTCAATGGCTGTAGAGCGCATTGATGCGTCGCCTTTAGAGCCGAGCTCTGAACACCTGCTCTGCATTCTGACTCAAAGCACAACAATGCACTGGCAAGACATGCTCAATAAACCATTGAAAGAGTACAGATGTGGCACACTGCAGACTGGTGCACCGAGGACTGTCCAGGCGCACTGCAGACTGTACAGATTATTCGATTTATTTATTGTCATATATTGTCATATGAAATACAATCAAACTTTGACAGAGCAGATCTGTAGCAGTAAAAATGAACAAACAGACACATCCTCACATCTATACCAATAAAAAACATTTAATAAATAAAATAAATAGATTATTGCACTGAGTCCCTTCAGGCCTTTTATCTGCACCTGTGGCCCTGGAGCACGTCCACTGCTCGTGGGTAGAAGCTGTTGTGCAGCCTGTTTGTGCGTGTGAGGGGAGTTTGAAGTCTTCCTGAGGGGAGAGTATGGACGAGGCAGTTCCTTGGGTGAACTGCAGACTGTACAGGCTGACCACAGCGTGAAACTCGCTGTCAGCTGTTCCTGAAACACCCATTGGTCTGACCGTGTGAGGGTGACCATAACTGTAGTTCTGCTTTACCACATGTATATTACAATTTTAAGCAGCATTTTATGTTCTTGCCTTGGACCCCGTAAGTAATAAATGTACTGTCACAGTACAGAATGAGTATATTTCTGTAAGACAAAATATACTTTTTATTAGTCTAACTAAAAAATATATATATATATTTAGGAAAAATTTTTAACATATTGTTCTATAGCCTAATAAACTGTTATAATATCATTAATTAATTAATCAAAAAAATAGCTGAAAGATTAATCTATTCATTGAAAAAAAAAAAAGTTAGAGTGTCTGTGTCTGTGTCTGTGCGTGTCTGTGTGTGTCTGTGTGTGTGTGTCTGTGTGTGTGTGTGTGTGTGTCTGTGTCTGTGTCTGTGCGTGTGTGTGTCTGTGTGTGTGTACTGGTCACATATTATGTCTCGACAGGAGCATGGTCTGGGGATTGCTCTCTTTTTTTCTCCTCCCTCTCCTCATGTTATACTGCTTTGTTTTCTTCTTCTTATGTCTCACAGTCAGAAGGTTCTGTATTTGACTCCTGGGCCTTTCTGTGTGGACTCTGCATGTTTTTCCTGCATTGACCCAAATATGATAGACTTGCAAAAAGGGAATTCTTGTGATTTTGTACATTCACAAACACTTCTGAGAATCTGTACTGTTCATGCAAAGACAGCAGGTAAAAAGTAGTCCTGACCAAAACTAACTCAAGATCTGGGGCCTCATTTATAAAAACTGCGCAGGAGTTGTCGTAAGTTAGTGCATACGCCTGTAGCTACGACAAGGCGTGCGCCACGCAAACTCCATATTTAGAAAACCCACCGCACGCACCAAACCTGCAATCTTTGCTTTATAAATCCCACCTGCAACTACAATTTGCGCACGTAAACCTACGTCATGTCACGCCCTCTCCACACCTCCACCTCACCATAAAAGGAGCATGTAAAGTGACTCGTGAATGAGATTTCCCTAAACATGAGCCGATATTCAGTGGGTTTGACCGAGACACGCGGGACAGAGGGAGGAGGACGCTCCACGCAGCACCACGTGACCACGACAAAGACTTTATTAAAGACTTTATTAAACCTTGTTTAATAAATAAATACAAAACTTAAAGTGACAACAATGACTAATCTGTTCATTTAATCATTTTTTATAATATTTAGGCAGCACATCTTTGCAGTAAAGCCCATGTGTTTTTTCGCTGTTTCAAGAGTTTTATCGCTATATTTTTAAGTCTGTGTATGAAGTGTGTGAGGACTGGCCCTGTATTTATGCATATACACGTAGATACGTGCACGCGCTGATCTGAATGGTCAAATTATGAGCGCGTGCGAGAGATTCAGATGCCCTCCCCTGGAGAGCGAAAGGAGCGCGGGAGGGACACGAGGACACAGACTTAGCATGAAACACATCAGATACAGATGTTATTCTGCCAACTAAAGTCCACACGAAACATCCAAACTGCTGAACCTGTGAGTGTGGGTCTGGGTCGGGACGGGCACGAGCATTATTCTGTTCTTCATATTGTCAGAGAGCAGCTCTCATGTACAAGAGTTCCCCATTACACAAAAATGTAGGGAAGATTTTGGTTGGGGTCAGGTTCGGGCAGTGGGCTTCGTGTTGTCCACAGACTCGGGTCACTCTGGCGCTCGGTGCATAAAGACTAAAGTAAAAGTGTTAAAGTTGCGTTCATTAAATCAAAGCCTGGCTCCTGCTGCGTCCAAGGGAAGAGTTTTTCTCTCAGGTCGGGTCATTATTTCGTCCTCTGTGTTGGTCACAGTCTGTGTTCTATAGAAGTCTGTGGTCGCAGTGTGGACTGTGGGACTCTGCGCTGCACCGAGTCCGGGAACGTGGCCGCGCTCGTGCACGAGTGTCAAATGGATGGAAGGATATTGTGGAGAATAATGAGTGGAATAAACAGCCCTTCTCCGTATTTTGGCGAACCAAACACTTAAATGCGCAAATCAGAAGGTAATTCTTCTGTATACGTGGATTTTCTGATCAAACACTTCCTCAAACTCTGTTCACTTCTGCTTCTCTCCACGAGTGTCGCTTTTTCCCCGTGTCTCCAGACTTTGCGTAGAACTTACAGCAGGTCCCGAGTTGGCGTAGAGTTAAGCAAAGAGCCACGCCTTAGTCGAGTTTTATAAATACCGCGGTTGGCGTAGGAAGCGCGCGCGCAAGGATTTTTGCGTAAGCAAGCTTTATAAATGAGGCCCCTGGAGATGTCCCTGTGCTCCCGATAAACTGGTCCAGACACACTGAAAGATGGGTCAAATGCAGAGGAGCAGCTTCCACATTTGGACAATAAAGTGTATCTTAACCAAACTTTATTACTATTTTAACAATTCTAAACACTTTTGGAAGGGTCTGTGTAGGAGGGTTGAAACCGTACTGAGGCACAAAGTGGTTTAACAGACCACAACCTAGAAAACGACTCACAAATAAACAACACAAAGACAGTTTGCAGAGAAACAGAGGCCAGTGTGGTGCAGTCTGTGTGAGAGGGAAAAACCATAACCTCTGTCCACACTGTGTTCACTACAGGCACAAGCTCTTTCACTTCAACACTTCATTTAAAAATAGACTTCAAGCTCAGACTTTGATGTTGTTAACTCAACCTACACAAATGGAGTTGTATATCAGATGTTTTTTTTCTTTTTTTACAGAATAAGAAGACAGAAGAGCCCTTGATTTTTTACTCTATATGTATTTTATTTGTGGTGATTTTAGTTTTGATGTGTTTTTTTATACTGGAGTGAAGGACTGGGTGAACTGAACTAATTGAACATTCCCTCCCACCCAGTGTTATTGGCTGTGGAAGGAAACGGAAGAGACGGGGCAAGAGAGGTGACGGAGTGGGAACGAAGACAGGTGGTGCAGTGGAACGGGTGAGGCTGGGGGGTCAGCCTCATCATCAGAAGAGCCTCTAGTCAGAAAATCCATGTTCGGGTAGTGTTACAAATTGTTACAAATGAAATTGTATTTCAAGTTTTAAATATTTTAAAAAGTAAATATTAAAAGTAATAAATATATTAAACCCTTAAAATACAGCAAAAATGTTTGAGGAAATAATGATTTGGGTGGAAATGTCTGTCTTAAATGGAACAGGGTTAAGAATTGTCTGATTTTCAGGCAACAACTTGCAAAATGTTCAGTAATTCGAGCTCTACAACCTTCATTTCAATTTTATTTTAAATCTTTTTCTTTTAATATAGCATTGGTGGGTTTGTAAACCAACACATTAAGTAATACTGGCCTTAGCTAATGCTGTGATGCATGATTATGCGTTTTCCTGTCAATATCTCTAAAAACGTTGATGTTGCAGCCATTTTTAATTGGTAAACACCCAAAAGTTTACTAATTCTTCCCTGATATCCAGGGATTATTCCCTGTTGCTTTCATCAAATATACATTCAATTGTTCAAGAGAAATGTTGCTGACAAACCAATAGAAGAGGTCATGATTTTCTGACTAGTGGGCCTTCTCACTACAGGGCCTTCTGACTAGTGGGCTTTCTGACTGGGGGCCTTCTTATGATAAGGGTATAACCGAGGCTGGACCATCTGGACAAGGCAGAGGGACGGATACAACACCTGAAAAGAGCTAAGTAAAGGGATGCATCTGGGGGACCTTGTGGGCGTGTGTGAAGCCGGACAGTAGATCAGATCAGAGCTAAGAGGCACTCTGTTTCCGCAGCGTCTCGACCTCGATACACAGGAGTTCAGAGGGAACCCTGTTGAGCATGGCGTCGGGAGCAGGAGGACCCGTGGTGGAGCAGAGGCGGAGGCCCGGATGCGGGGGACGTGGCGGCTCTATTCACCTGCATGATAGAGCTAAGTAAAGGGACGTCACTCAGTCGACCCTGGTGTGTGTGTGGCTGGTCAAAGACGGTCCTAGTCACAGTCTGACAGACTTTGTTTTACTCTCGTTTTTACAGTCAACGTGGCGGTGGCTGGACCAGAGGGACTATCACGCCAGATCCACATGGACCTTCAGGCAGTGACCACAGCACCCAGCCCATTTTAATTCCGATTTTAGCCAAACTGGATTTTTTCTTTTAATATTATTTTTCATTACATACCCATTTATACCCATTTTTACTCTCATTTTAAAGGTTGTGCTTCAGCGAATAAACTGTTAACTGACTGCATATCATCTTTCCCAAACAGTTTGGTAGAACTAAAGAATCTGACACATGCACAGCTAAACAGGAGCGGCTGAGTCTGGATTTAAGGTCCTCAGAGTGTGACATGGTTCATACAGCACTAAAACGTTAGAGATGTGCTTTGGTGTGAGATCATGGAGACACTTGTACACACAGGTTTGTTTTGGATGAGGGAACAGTATTACAATATGGTTTAAAGCTGAAAAAATGCACACAAAGTACACTGAGAGTGAGAAAGATGATTAAAAAAAAAAGTGTAAAATCTTTGTTGGGGTGACAAGTGAAGAGCAACATTCAGAAAATTGTCCATCGATGCCCACCCAGAGCCGACTGTGTGTACGATGGACATTGTAAAGTTTATTTGATGACGGTACAGACGACATGAGTGTCCTCTGGTTTCCTTGGCAACCTGCTTCTCACCGTTGTGGCCATAAAGACGCGTGCAGTCCCAGTACAGTTCTGTTTAAAATAAATGAAGACAGAATCATATTTTGCAGAAAACTTAATCATACTTATATTTACAAAAAAAAACAAAAAAACTGAAATCTTACCTCCCGTGAATCTGGTGTCTGGTCTTTTGCTAAAACAAAAACCAAAAAGATATTACTTATTTGTTGATAAGTTATGAATTGATAAGCAATATTTAGAACATTACCTCTCTGGAGATGGAAGATTTTGACGCTCAGACCAGTAATAATCAAAATGGAAAAGACAGTGATACTCCCCAGAATTATTAGGACAGTGTAAACGCTCGGGCAGTCCATTTTCTCGTCCACTAGACTCACAGAATATAGAGTATGTTAGTGAACCAGACATACATCACACAGTTTTATGGACCATTGGAGGCTTACCTGGAATAATTGTGACAAGATCACCTTCATCACCTTTAAAAGACAACAGGGTTCATAAGTTTCCGTGCATATTTCAGTCAGGGTAGTTGATTTTTAAACAGTGAAAAGACGAAGCATCTAGTTTATTCTAAGTAACATGTTCCAAGCTCTCACAGAGGTCAGCTCCATGTCCCCACAGCCTTATAACCTGGTTCTATAAGAGGTTCTATCCTTCAATAAACAAAACCAAAATAAAAAAGAAGTACTGTATTTTTCGAACTATAAGTGGCACTTTTTTCATGGTTTGGGTGTTTCTTGCGATTTATGCTCTGGTGTGACATATATATTAAAATGTTCACAGTGACAGCCACGAGAGGCTCTAGTCTTGTGTTCCTCCTGTACCACTGTCACTTCACTCTACTGCACATGTCTCCTGCATGTTCCTTCTGCAAGTTGTGAAATCTGCAGCTGAAAACGGTAATCGAGCAGCAGAAAGAAAGTTTGGAGTGAGTGAGAAAGTTGTGACACCGGGAGGATGCACCGTGAAACTTTCCTGAAGTCACTGGATGGATGGACAAACCCTGAACTTCAGTGACACTGAAACCATCCTGTCAGAAACACCTGAATAATTCTATACTGATACTAGGGGTGTGCAAAAATATCGGAATATCGATATATCGTATATTTTAATGTGATGATACAGTATCGATAGAGTGGGCTACTGTATCGATATATCACCAAGAGTATTTTTACGTGTGTTTTACTAAATTATTTTGTTACAGAGCTACAGTTTTGTGGCTTGTGGAGTGAAAGGAAACTCATTTATGCAACACATTTGACATTTTCACTGTTTTGATGATTAAAATGTTTGTGTTTCACATGAACTTTGCACAAGAAGTGGTTTAACAAAGACTTTAGTATCACAGCCATGATTTAGACTTTATTTCTTATCGAATCGATTTGAAATATATCATATCAAAGTGCGCTGTATCGAGATATGTATCGTATCATGGCCTGTGTATCGAGGTATGTATCGTATCGGCAACTTCTTAATGATACCCAGCCCTAACTGATACTGAGTCTGACGACAGCGACACAGAAGAGTTTGCGTCGCTCTGTTTACCTCCGGAGGTCGAGGCCAAGTTGTTCAGAAGAGACACCGAGGATGAAGAATTGAATAGATTCAGTGATTTGGAGTGAGATGGAGAGTTTGTTAAACTTGTTCTATTCTGTTGTTTATGTTATAGTTTATCTGAAGAACTGTTCATGTGACATTAACAGTCTGTTGTTCTCTCTTCTATTGTTTTATCTAGAACTTGACTTTCAACAGGTCTCAGATTTTATAAAATAAACTGCAATTTATAGTCCCGTGCGACTTATATATGTTTTTTTTTTTTTTTTTTTTATTGAGGATTTTTTTGGCTGGGTGTGACTTATACTCCAGAGCAGGGATGGGCAAACTACGGCCCGGGGGCCAAATGCGGCCCTTTAAACCTTTTAATCCGGCCCACCAAACTTGAATAAATAATAATAATAAACCTAGTTAATGTTTTATTTTTCCTGCATTTCCGGCGTTTCCCAGTAGACGGCGCACTATATATACATTGAGGTGCGGCGGCTTCTGTTGGCCGCAATGCTTTATGGGAAAGTCATTTTCAGACGGTGTATTCGGACCATGAATGAGGTAGAAGTGTTCAAGACATAAGACTGCACTAATTCTGCAGTAACTGTGTCTAAGTGTAAATCTGTAAAAGTAAGATCTATTCTTTTCGTGCTACGGTGACGTTAAATATTTTTTCATGTGTCACTTGAGCGTCTGCTACACTCGTGTCTACACTTCATACTCAACTCTGTGCTGTGTGCAATATATGTGCTCCCTGCGCACACTCTGCCAATGAGCGCGCCACTGCCCCCTAATGTAGTGGAAGTGCAATTGCACTTTATTCTAAAGGCCCGTTCAGACCAAAGCGTCAAAGCGTCCACTTTCTATGTAAGTTATGTGGACACTGAGCGTCCTGCTTTTTGCGGCGCGTTTCGGCGTCAGCGCGGCGCGAATCTGGCGTCAGCGCAGCGCGTCTCAGCGTGGCGTCAGTGGCCAAGACGCGCGTCCAAGGCGTCAGCGTCAAGAAGTTGAAAATGCTGAACAGACGCGCCGCGTCAACCAATCAGACGAGTATCCAGAGACGCAGCGACGTATTATCCAGAACCAGAACGAGAACCACAAACACTGAGCGAATAAATATATACGCCACAATCACGCCGCGAGGACTACACCAGGACTGGGCAGGACTGGACTAGACAGACTAAACAAGGACTAGACCGCTGATGATTAGACAGACTAGCCGGGACAGACTGCGGAAGACCTAGATCTGATCCAGTGTCATTAGTGGAGTATAAATATAAACACGCCCCAGTCGTCGACCCGATCTCCTCCTTTGATGTTTTATGTCATAAAAACACTCTCTCAGTCTGGTCTGACATTGTTTCGGAAAAGAGCGGGACCGGGCTCTTGTTTCCAGCAACGGACGCGCGTCAGTATTTTTGTCCCGTTCGTCACGGCGTCAAAGATGCGCGTCGGGGGCGTCCAAACTCAAAATGCAAAGGCTCCAAATAGAGGCGTCAAGGCGTTTTTTGACGCTTGGTGTGAACGCCTTAAGACAGTAAAAAAGTAAAAAAGCTGCTCCCCGAGGTCAAACGCGCCCCCTTGACGGAGCCTCGCGCCCCCCCCAGGGGGGCCCGCCCCACTATTTGAGAAGCACTGGTCTAGAGTAAATCTCAGTGCAAGGACTCCTTTGTGTGACGGTGTCTTACGTAAAGTATTATACCTTTTGATATATGGTGTAGTTAGAAAAATAGGAATCACTGTGTTACATGTGTATGGAAAGACCGTACGAGCCAGCGCGAAATCCACAGGTTGCAAAATGGCTGCCCGTTCAAATTGATGTGCAGAGCTCAATGGCGCATGATCCCAGATTAGCCTAGCAATGCTAGGTACTTCCGGTGGCTGTTGCCTACGAGCATGCGCAGTAGTGCTCTTTCTCCCACGGGCACACGCGACTACACGCACGGAGCGCGGGCTCGTGTATCACGTGATCGTTTTGACCAATCAGAGCGAGAAGAGCTAGAGCGGAGCAGGAGCTAACGAATATAAAGTGTTTTTTTAAGACAACTGAAGGATTTTGAGCGAGAAAAAGTTTATGATCTAAAAATAGGTAAAAATCACCAACAGATCCGATATTTTTGAAAGCTGTAGATGACCTGTCAGATGAACACGAGCAGTTTGTGATTACATTGCCTCTATGAGAAAAATCTTGTCTCAGCCCATGAGATTTTTTCTGCTGAAGTTCCAGTGAGTGACACTACGTCAACTGGAGGCAGCTACAAGCAACAATACTGTATCCAGTTATTTAGTGCCCGGTGACCTTATGCAGCCATTCAAATTGACCCACAGAACTTGACCAAATTATAATAAATAAACCTTACTGCTGTTTTATCTTTCTTGCATTTCCGGCGTCTCCCGGTAGATGGCGCACTATATATACATTGAGGTGTGGCGACTTCTGTTGGCCGCAATGCTTTATGGGAAAGTATTTACAGGAGTCATTTTGGGCGGTGTATTCGGACCATGAATGAGGTAGAAGTGTTCAAGACATAAGGCTGCACTGTTTCCGCTTTAAATCTATGCAAAACAACATCATATATTTCATACTCACTGTATTAGAAAGTCCTAAAGGTTTGGTTAGACTGAATTAGCATGGGATCTGTGTCGTCTACACCCTCGGTCAAAGTGCTTGGGACACATGTTTGCTTTTGTTGTGCAGTGGGGCAGACCTCATTTCACTTTTCATGTTTAAAGTTGCAGCGCGTAGTGCAGAATACGTCCTACATGAGAGTAAATACGAGTGCAATGGAGCCGGGCTCTGAACACGTCATGTCCCGTCTTCTGTTCGGCCCTCCAGTCAAATTTTAGAACCCTATGTGGCCCCCGAGCCAAAAAGTTTGCCCACCCCTGCTCCAGAGCAACTGAAACATATGGTAAGTGTAAAATTCATGTGCAGTATTTGTCATGTAAAATAGTGGTTTGTATCATAGTGTATCATAGTGCCTGGTCTCTGATTTTATCAGATAAATTTCCCCCCAAAAGTGCAACTTATATATATAGATATATGTTTTTTTTTTCTTCATCATTACACATTTTTTGGCTGATGTGACTTATACTGGGATATTTCTGACAAGATGTTCATCACCTTTAAAAGACAACAGTGTTCATAATTTTTCATACATATTTCAGTCAGAGTAGCTGATTTTCAAACAGTGAAAAAACAAAGTATCTAGTTTATTCTAAGTAACATGTTCCAAGTTCTCACAGAGGTCAGCTCCATGCGCCCACAGCCCTATGGTTCTATAAGAGGTTCTGTGCTTCAATAAACAAAACCAAAATAAAAAAAGAAATACACTACTGGTCAAAAGTTTTAGAACACCCCCATTTAAAAATAATAAAATAAAAGAAAAAAAGAAAAGTCCAAGCTCTGCCAAAACTACCTCAGGGAAAAAGAACAAGATGGTAAAGCTTGAAAACCTGGAGTGTCCAGCAGCAGCACAGTGTCCAGACTTAAACCCCATGGAGCTGGTTTGGGATGAACTGGACAGAAGAGTGAAGCAACCTACAAGTGCCACTGTTGCACTCTTAAATAATCCAGGCGAGTAGTTCCGTTTTGCAATGTTTATTTTATCCAAGCGGTTCAATACATTTGAGGCACGCAGGGCTACAACACCGGAGCGCAGGCCACACTCACAACACTGGATGGGCGTGTCTGACCTCCTTTTACTGCTGGACCCCCAACTATCGGCACCACCCATTTCATGTCTGCTCTCGATGCTACAGTTTATTTTAATTACATTCAAATTTAATAAATTAGCAGTGCATATACTATAATTAATAAATACTATATAATTTAACATTTCATCCAAATATATATATGGGCTACACCACACATTTATGCAAACTTCTGCGACAGACTTGAGAAGAACTTTCTGAACAATATTTGATTTCTATTGTAAAAAGAACAAGCCACGAGTGTGTTCAGCTGTTCTATCTGACAAAGGTGGACACACACATCAGTCAAAAGTTCAGAATAGGTAACAGTAAAACAAGTGTAAAATGTGTGGGGTTCTAAAACTTTTGATGTAATGTAATGTATAGGTTAAAAAAAAAAAAAAAGTGACATACTCTGGCCTTAACTTAGAGTCTTACTGTATCCCTAACATCTCTGTTTCTGCTGTATGTGCTGTACATACTGAAACTGTGAAAAACTTGCATGTGTCCTGTATCTTCAGGGTGAGGCACTGGCAACGCAGGTTCAGTTGTGATTATAGTACGTATAGTTTAGGCTACATTCAGTTCCTTTAAGTTACTGTTACTAATTGCAACTAATACATGCATCAAGAATCTCGGACATTGCACAGTTCATACTGGGAAGGATTTCATGTTTGATTTCCAAGTGGGATGCGTCTATTGACAAAGCCGATCTTTTCTAGTCTTTTGAAACATATCGCTTCGCATACAAAATGTTCGCCATAAACACGGGATGATTTAGGCAGTCAAAGGTTTCCTTTTTTGTCCTTCCTGTGGATCAAAATAGTGGATCCTGCCCATCGCCTTCACCTTTCACTATTTTTTAATTCCGCTGGGAAGGGAAACAGTTTGAACAGAGGTTTGAGTCACACACATCTGATTCCCTTTAGCATTTATAGAGTTCGCGAACAAATTTCTCGAGCCTTTTTCCGCCGTTAGGATCCAACAACCACACAATTACGATGTCCGAATCCCAAAACTAAAATATGACAATATCAGAACCAGAAACAAAAGTGATATGGTTCAAAAGACTAGAAAAGATCAACTTTGTCAATAGACGCATCCCACTGGGAAAACAAACGTGGCGGTTTGATGCTCATTCTTTTCGGAAAATCCTTCCCAGTATGTACTGCGCAATGACCGGAAGTCCGAGATTCTTGACGCGTCTATTGCAGAGATAGTTTTGCATTGTTGTGCTGCCAGAGCAACTGTGTACTTACCGTCAACACTTAAGTACGTCGACTCTCCAATGACTACATTTGACCTTATGAAGAATCCACAGAAATACAATCCAGAATCTGAGGTTTGTACTTGATAGATTGTCAAAAACACATGTGTTTTGCTGATGCTCATTTGAAACCTGCTGTGTTTAAATCCAGAACAATATGAAGGTTCATCATCAGATCCAATCATTGAAGAAATACAGCGAGCTTTAGTTTCATTCTCCACTCGGAACCAGTCCACTTGAGTTGTCTCTTTGGAGATATTTGAACACGACAAAGTGATGTTTCCTCCTGAACGGACCTCAGATATTATATTAACCCCAAAAATTGATCCAGCACAGATGCCTACAATGATAAAAACATTCACTACAAACTGTTTATAAGCACTTGTAAAATTGTTAGAGAAAAAGTCTCGGCTACTTACTGAGGATAGAGAGCACAGTGCATGTGGAGGTCTTCATCGTGGGTTCACTAGACTACTCAGACACCAGCGGCTCAGAGGTTTATTATGTGGAGAACAAAGGGGCGGAGCCTTATGATTTTTTATGCATTTCCTTTTGAGACTGCACAAGTGTTTTAAAAAGGTAAAAGACCGTGTATTATGCTACAACTTTTTTTTTCAGCCAAGGTTGAGAAGCAAGATTACCCCCACACTACATTTGAGTTACTATGGCAGCCCTAATACCATGAGTGAAGGGGACGAGGAGAGGATGAGGAGAGAAGGAAGTGGAGGGTTATCATAGCAGCTGATACAGAGGCCACTGTTGCTGGAACAAACAGGCTTTTACTCTTTTTGTATTCAATATTATTTTATATAAAATAACTTAAAACTTAAAAATTTATAACTAATAATCATGTAAAAACATGCATTGTTGGTTGCTTTGTAAGAGTTATAATATTCTAAAAAAAAAAAAGAATTTTTTTTCATTGGATTGAACATTTCGTCAATGCCAAAAGTGTTCATAAAAAGGTTGGAGCACCCTGAGAAACCAGTGCAGACATGGTGAGAACATGCAAACACTGAAAATCAAACCCAAAACCTTCTTGCTGTGAGGTGATATTGCAAAGTACTACAAAGTACTGGTACTACCAGCACTGGGACATTACAGAAACAGATCAGATGGTACTACACCCACACAGCACAAGAACACAGAAAATGACAGACGACACCTTCTGCATTTGAACAGAAAGTCTGAGAGACTGTGGAGGCCCCCTGCTGGGCTGAAGTCTGGAGAAATTCAAGCAAATAATGATCATGTCAGTTTCTGCCTTTTGTCTTTGCACGACTCTTCATTTTTGTCTCATGATACAAAGGCAGAGAACAGGAACTGATGAGGAAGCCTCAAGAAGAAGGTTGGATGAGCTGGTGAGGAAGGCTGGATCTGAACTGGGTGCAGAACTTGACTCATTCACATCTGTGGCTGTGAAGAAAGCCCTAAACAAACTCCTGTCCATCCTGGACAACCCCAGCAGCCCCTGCAGAGCACCGACACCAGACTGGACAGCACCTTTGGGGACAGGCTGTTGTCCCTGTCTTGCTCCACTGACAAACTCTGGAAGTTGTTTGTACCACATGACACATGAGGCTGTTCAACACTTCTCTATAATTTGATAAACTGATATTCTATGCTGTAAGTCTGTGCAATTAATTCACTTTTGATCACGATTTCGATTTGTGTGTCAAACGATCTCCAAACTCATGTAATCGAGTTGAACCGACAGCTTAATACAGTTTATTTTGGGATATATTATTTTTATATAAATACATTTTTTAAATATAGAGATTGTAGAACAGCTGGATATAGAGTTTATTTTAGATACATTTATGTTTTTCTGCCTTATTTCATGTTCAAAGAATATTTTATTAATTTTATGTTTTATACATCGCAAAACTTCACCAAGGTTCATATTTGTAGCCTATATTTATTTTCAATTTGAAAGTTTTGCATAAATTATCAATAAAAAAGAGGGTTTTATTTAGAGAGAAATGCTGAATAAATGCATCATGTAACTAAAAAATAATCATTTGAATAATTGTGGTTTCAGTATTGATCATGATAATGATTTTTTCCATAATGGAGCAGTCCTACTATGCTGCCTTAAAAACAAATTTCCTTTGAGATAATAAAGCATCTCTCTAATCTAATGCAGCTGTAGATGAACTTTTTATTATTGCTATGGACTTTTGAGTCTAACTGACAAATCTATTTCTGCATTCTTTCCATCTCCTCCGTGTGTCGCATCTGGTTTCTGTTCAGCCAGAGGTGAGAACGATCACTTCTGATAAAATGGTGCTGTGGTGTACTGTGGGGGTACGTGTCATCATTTAACAGGAAGTCCTATGTGGTCTCAGCTCACAGGGCAGCCTCCTTCAGTTCAGTGTTTAAATGACACAAATAGAATCATTCCATGTAATACCCGTAGAGATATAATAAAGTGGACCTAACCACAGCCACACAGTCATGCCGAAAGTAATGGTTAAGTTAGTTTCATTTTCCAGTAAATGAAAACAAACTCAAAAACTTCCAAGTGCAGATGAGCTTTTTATTGTTTTGAGATATATACACAACGGCAAAAATGCTTAAACTCTACCCTATTTTAATTTATATTTAATTGTATGTCTTGGCAAAATAAATATTCCAAACAACTTTCAAACAAAGCAGAGCTGAAATGGAAGGTTGATCTGAGGGTTGACGGTCCGATCGCAGCAGTGACCAGTGTGTTCTGCTGTTGTATCTCGGGCAAGAAACTTCACCCGCCTCGTCCGTGTGATCGAAGTCGGTGGTCAAAGGCGTGACTGACTCTTTGGTAACCAGGAATGTGCGGTTATGGAAGTGTCAACTACTGAGTGAGAAGACTTTTTGGAGCTATGAATCATGTTAGAGTTGTTTTCTGTTCTCATTTACTCACTCAAAGTTGTAATTTAGAGTGAGTCATGCATGTATGAGTCATCTTTATTCTCCGGTATACTGTTACAAAATCACAATATTGATCTAAAACGACTTCTGTCAGAATAATTTTATTATCCCATATTTGCTAAATACTTGTGTGTTATTCTAGACCTATGAGTTAACCATTTATGTACTACAATTCTTTGATTTATAATGTACCAATCACTTGTCACTTGTTGAATAACCTCTGTGTGTTTGACAACTGTGTGCAGTGTCCTATCGCTCTAGTGAACCTCCAGATGATTCCTCACATGAAGCCAACTCCCACTGTCACACATGCAAGAGTTATGATGGTGTCTGTCCAAACCTAAGGCACCTCCTGATTGTTAATCATGTTTTATGTGTTTGTACTATGCTTAGCTGCATCAGTTTCTTATTATGTCTTTGCTGGTTTCCCCTTCCCCTTGAGAATTATCATTCTGTAACTAGGGCCTCCTAATGAAATAAAAAGAGGAGAACAGCCTTGAGTCATCAGAACGTGTGGAGACTGTTGGTTTTGATGCCCACTCTCTGCCCGTTCTCCTCATGAGTAAAACTGAATTAATCTCTTGTCTTTCTTCTTGTTTTTAATGTTTAGATAAACCTAACAACTTCATAAAAGAAATAAATGTATGACTTGCGCATTAGAGTTGATGTTGCTGTAAACGTCATCGCAACAAAGAGATGTGAAGTTGTCAGCACCTCACGTCACACTAGTGAGTAGCACGTTTTTATCATTTGTACCAAAAATAGTATCAGAGCTGTATTTAGAATGATTCATTCACGTTTGAGTAATCTTTTTTCTCCTGTATTCAAGAAGTTATTGCGCCAATCTACCCACATTTTCACCACACTGGTACACCCCACTGCTCTGTACTTCCTTCTCCCAGTTTTATACACTGATACACATTTGTGTATTTGTGATACACATTTAAAATCACAATATTGATCTAAAACGACTTCATAAAAGAAATAAGTCTACTGACTTGTGTGTTTCTACAAAATCATGCTCCCATTATATTGGAGAAACTGTGGCACGATGGTGAATCACTCACAAATCTTCTGGGCAGAGGTGGGACCAAGTCATCGTTTTGCAAGTCTCAAGTAAGTCTCAAGTCTTTGACATCAAGTCCAAGCCAAGTCCCAAGTCTTAGTCAATTTTATCAAGTCAAGTCTACAGTGTTAACTGGAGGAAACCGTCCCCTCCGACAAGGACAGAAAGGACACAGAGACTAAAACACGTCTACAAGAGCTGACATGATTAATAACTAATATAATAACCCTTTGTCAAGGATTGTTCTAAATGTTTATTTGTGTTGCTGATCTTCATAAACTTAAGTTCAAAAAAAGAAAAAAAAGCTAATGTTGCTGTAAACATCATCACAACAAAAGGACGTGAAGTTGTCAGCACCTCATGTCACACTAGTGAGTAGCATGTTTTTGTCTTTGTACCAAAAATGACTACGTAACCACTGAATCATACGTGTAGCACCGATTAGGAAAGTAAAACTGACATTATAGAGTAAGTACAGAGCAGTGGGCGTGTGCTGGTGGTGGTGGAAACAGGGATTGATCGGAGCAATGACGTCATGAATAGAGGCGCATATAGATAAATGAAACATGCATGAATCACTCTAAATAAAACTTCGAGAGGGTGACGAGAACAGGAAACAACTACACTTCCGGTTAAAAGTTTTAGAACACCCTCATTTTTCCAGTTATTTTGTAATTCAATTCGTGCAAGTTCAATGAAGATCTTGAAATGGTACAAAGGAAAGAACTGAACAGACAGAGGTTAAAAAAAGATAAAAGATACAAAACGCAAGTCCAAGCTCTGCCAAAACAACCTCAGGAAAAAAGAACAAGATGCTAAACTTGAAAACCTGGAGTGTCCAGCAGCAGCACAGTGTCCAGACTTAAAGCCCATGGAGCTGGTTTGGGATGAACTGGACAGAAGAGTGAAGCAACCGACAAGTGCCACACATTTATGGAAACTTCTGCAACAGACTTGGGAAGAACTTTCTGAAGAATATTTGATTTCTGTTGTAAAAAGAACGAGCCACGAGTGTGTTCAGCTGTTCTATCTGACAAAGGTGGACACACACATCAATCAAAAGTTTAGAATATGTTTTGGTCAACAGTAAACAGTAAAAATCTGGAAAAAGTGTGGTGTTCTAAAACTTTTGACCGGTAGTGTGTATTTGTATCTGTAGTGAAGTGTAGTGAAAACAGGTTATCTTGTACTTGAGTAAATGACTTGTGGTTCCATTTGTCTGTGTAAAGTTTGAGGTCTTTTTGTGGCTTTGATATTGATCGCAGCATAGTTCGGCTCTTCTGACCGGACCTGAAATCAACAGTTTTAAGAAAATGTTAGCTAAAATTCCAATTATAATAATAACATTTTGAAATCCGACCTCACCTCATTTGCACTTTTTTGCAGCTCTTTACTGACTGAAAGACAGAAGAAAGTTTTTGCAATAAATACTGTATATGAAAATGTATAAACTCTAATGAAGGATCAGAATCTATAGGACTCAAGTGGTCAAGTTGAACTTTTTTCTCTGGGGGCCACATTACGGCTCCTGACTGAGACGGGGCCGGGGTTGAGTTGGACGTATAACAGAATTGTGTGACCTTGATGACAGATTATATTCTTTGAAAACTGCCACATTTTCTTTACATATCAGACAAACTGCACACTCCAACAGTGAACATAATCATAATCAATGTTCTTTGAAAACTCTGCACTCTGTCAACTTTTCTTTAACACGAGTCATTTTACTGTCCTTAACTGTACTACAGAACTCTGCACTAAAGTACTCTGCAACTACAGTACTCTGCACTACAGTACTCTGCACTACTAAAGTACTCTGCACTACAGTACTCTGCACTACTACAGTACTACTTACTACTACAGTACTCTGCACTACAGTACTCTGCACTACAGTACTCTGCACTAAAGTACTCTGCACTACAGTACTCTGCACTACAGTACTCTGCACTACAGTACTCTGCACTACAGTACTCTGCACTACAGTACTTACTCTACTACTACAGTACTCTACACTACAGTACACTCTACACTACAGTACTCTGCACTAAGTACTCTGCACTACAGTACTCTACACTACAGTACTCTGCACTACAGTACTATGCACTACAGTACTCTGCACTACAGTACTCTGCACTAAAGTACTCTGCACTACAGTACTCTACACTACAGTACTCTGCACTAAAGTACTCTACACTACAGTACTCTGCACTAAAGTACTCTGCACTACAGTACTCTGCACTAAAGTACTCTACACTACAGTACTCTACACTACAGTACTCTGCACTAAAGTACTCTGCACTACTACAGTACTCTACACTACAGTACTCTGCACTAAAGTACTCTGCACTACAGTACTCTGCACTACAGTACTCTACACTACAGTACTCTGCACTAAAGTACTCTACACTACAGTACTCTGCACTAAAGTACTCTACACTACAGTACTCTGCACTAAAGTACTCTACACTACAGTACTCTGCACTAAAGTACTCTACACTACTACAGTACTCTGCACTACAGTACTCTACACTACAGTACTCTGCACTAAAGTACTCTACACTACAGTACTCTGCACTAAAGTACTCTACACTACAGTACTCTGCACTAAAGTACTCTACACTACAGTACTCTACACTACAGTACTCTACACTACAGTACTCTACACTACAGTACTCTGCACTAAAGTACTCTACACTACAGTACTCTGCACTACAGTACTCTGCAACTACAGTACTCTGCAACTACAGTACTCTGCACTACAGTACTCTGCACTACAGTACTCTGCACTACAGTACTCTGCACTACAGTACTCTGCACTACAGTACTCTACACTACAGTACTCTGCACTACAGTACTCTGCACTACAGTACTGTACTCTGCAACTACAGTACTCTACACTACAGTACTCTACACTACAGTACTCACACTACAGTACTCTGCACTACAAGTACTCTACACTACAGTACTCTACTACACTCTACAGTACTCTGCACTACTACAGTACTCTGCACTACAGTACTCTACACTGCAACTACAGTACTCTGCACTAAAGTACTCTACAGTAACTACAGTACTCTGCACTACAGTACTCTACACTACAGTACTCTGCACTACACTACTCTGCAAACTACAGTACTCTGCACTACAGTACTCTACACTACAGTACTCTACACTACAGTACTCTGCACTACAGTACTCTGCACTACAGTACTCTGCACTACTACAGTACTCTGCAACAGTACTCAACTACAGTACTCTGCACTAAGTACTCTGCACTACAGTACTCTGCACTACAGTACTCTGTACTCTAAACTACAGTACTCTGCACTACAGTACTCTGCAGGTGACAAACATTTGGTGGCAAATTCAGCAGCAAATGTAAATACATTATATATTTATTTCAATATAAATATAAATACTTCATATAAATATACATTTTTAATTGAAAAAAAAAAAAAAAAAAAACAAAACAAGGTGCAGACATCTTATTATTTGCCAAAAAGTAATTAATTAAATAGACCGTGGGAGGCTGGAGTCAGCAAACAGGCATTAGTTTGCTGACCTCTGGTTTACAGGAACATTATAGGCTTACACTGATTTGATTGACAAATAAAAGCGTAATATCAAATAATCTGTACCTTTTTGAAGTTGGCTGTACTTTATGGCAAGAATAATGACGACCACAGCGAGAATTCCACTTAGAACCCAAAGAGCGATGGTTGTTAGTGGAATCCAACTGAAGCAGCCTGTAAAAGAAAGCACTTTAGTTTGTACAGTCAGTAGTTAAAGGGCCCATTTTCTGATCCTGTAATTTCCAGTTTTACTAAACAAAAGGTAAAAGGAGCTGTTCACTTGAAAACTTCCACTTTATAACATCACAAAGTGGAACAGAGAATTTTAAGCTTTGGAGACATGGACAGACGAATAATACAGGATCACTCAAACATGTGTGAATGAAACAAAACAACTGTGTATATTTTTTGAGGGGGTACAACTCTTATTCCAACATACTGCCACTCCGACATTCCATCATTCTGATAACCCTCCATTCCAAAAATCAGGCCTAAACCAGGACTAAATCAGGTCTAAACCAGGACTAAAACCAGGACTAAACCAGAACTAAACCAGACTAAACCACGACTAAACCAGGACTAAACCAGGACTAAACCAGGACTAAACCAGGACTAAAACCAGGACTAAACCAGGTCTAAACCAGGACTAAAACTAGGACTAAAATCAGGTCTAAACCAGGACTAAAACCAGGAGTAAAATCAAGTCCAAACTATGGCTAAACCAGAACTAAACCAGGACTAAAATCAGGTCTAGACCAGGACTAAAGTCAGGACTAAAACCAGGTCTAAACCAGGACTAAAACAGGATTAAAACAGGACTAAACCAGGACTAAATTCAGGATGAAAACTGGGTCTAAACCAGAACTAAACCAGGACTAAGCCAGGAATAAAATCAGGTCTAAAACCAAGTCTAAACCAGGACTAAAACAGGATTTAACCAGGACCTCCCATATGCCACACGTACTGCGTTTTCCTACGGTGCCAGTCCGTGAAAATATTGTCCCAAAAATAACTTATTGAATGACCTTGTGTGTCGGAATGGTGGAATGTTATGAAAAATGTGGAGTGTTGGTATGTCGGAATAGCAACATGTAACCATTTTTGAGGAGGTAACAACATTCTAACAGGACTTAAAGCTCACAAGAGTAAATTTGGCATAATATAGCACCTTTAATCTAAATCAATTTATTAAATAAGTGTCAAAAAATTCTTACCAGTTTGTGGGTTTTCGTTCATTGCACTATTCGTTGGATCAGCATGATCTAAAACAAAAACATGAATTAGAAGTTAGAATTGATTTATAAATGCTTATTTTTTTTGGCGCAAAATAAACTGCCTTAAATATATGTGAATTTTAGCAGAAGAAAGCATGTTCTAGTGTTTGTGTCTGTATTGAAAATGTAGGCTAGGAAATTCCAATTCCAATATAAAGTATGTTTGCCAAGAGGGTTTTCAAAGTGCCGTATTTTTCACACTTTTTTTTTCATGGTTTGGGGGTTTCCAGCAACTTATAGTCTGGTGCGACTTATATATGTTTTTATCATCTTCATTACGCATTTTTTGGCTGGTGCGACTTATACTCCGGAGTGACTTAGGCACACTGCTCACACTGCAGCCTGAAGTGATCCAAATCCGATTTTCTGGTCCGTATGTGACCTGTATCTGATCTTTTAATGACATTCTGAATGACACAGATCCGATTTTTTCAAATGCGACCGAGGCCACTTGGATATGTGCTCCTGAAACTGATACATATCTGATCTTTTGACATGTGACTTCAGTCTGAACGGCCAAAGCGCATTCATCGACCTACATGTTATCAGCAAGCTACAAATGTACACAAACGTTTTTCTCGTCATACGAAAATTGTTAATGAACTGTCACTGAAGTGAAGCACATCACTATCCCACCACTCTTGGCTACGTCTCCACATCCACATGTTCCTTTCAACAGACTGATCCACAAAACACCACCTCGTCCTTCTCCTTCTCAATTTCCTCCTTAAAACAAATAAGTTGTTCATGTTCTGGCTCCGGTATGAGAGGAACTTTAAAATCTCCAGGTGCTCAATGCTGCGTCCATGTTTGGACAACTTCTGTAAACACAGAGCACGCTCGCTGCGGTTGACGTCGTCGTGTCTCCAGTGCACATGCGGGACACTTTTGGGCCGTTTAATGTTCACAATGGAGTCACATAAAAGTCACATTTAATTGGAAATGTGAACGACCTCGCAGAAACATCGGATTTCACAAAAAACAAAAAAAAAAAACGGAATTGAGCATTAAGCCCTACCGTCTGAACGTAGCCTTATAGATTGAAAAATACAGTATGTATATATGTAAGTACATTTAATTTGTGCTGAACAAAAAGAGACAGAGAATAAGAATAAATAGGCTGTGTGTTGCACTGAAAATGTAACCATGTGATAAAAATGAATGTTTGGTCTGTTTTACAAAGAAAAAAACGCTTAATTTTTGAAAAGGGAACTACAGCTTCCTCAATGCTGCTTCCTAATTTGTCTCCGTTTCTCTTTTCAGTTTTCATTATTTCAATATTTACATTGTAGATCCTCCCTGAAGACAAGATCAAAATAACTCCAAACTGATTTTAAAGTTAGATTTTTATCACTGCTTTTGATTCCAGACCCAGCTGTCGATAGATTTCAAAAACACTGAAATAGCTGCCCTTTGCTTGGAACCCTGGACTGCACATTTGGCATTTCTTGATCATGACATCGTAGGGTTACGGGCGACTTTAGGGTCTGGTTTTGAGGTTATAGTTAAGATTAGGGCCCGGTTTTGTGATTCTGGTAAAGGTTAGGGCCAGAGTGAGAGTACAGGCTATGGATTCTCAAAATAATATCGTGGGCCGTCACAGTATATCAAATCTCGAATCTCTTTGCTTGAATTGATCTTTTTGGTGCAGCAACAGCTAAAAAACAGTGCGAACTACATAGACCATGATCCTTTGCTCTCTTTCTCAATCTACATTTCATATTTATTTGTTTGGAGGTTGTGTTGAACAAAATCAGAACAACCGCACACACATACTCACTCACACTTGACTGTTAGACACATAATAAATCAAATCTGAACAAAAACTCAAATATAGTCACAAAATACAACAAGATGAACAACAAAACTCAACAAAATGATGAAAAACAGTTAGACGGGATATGTAAATATTAAACCAGAGCATTTTTAAATGAAGGGACAGAACTTTATGCGAGAATCGATGAGGAAAAATTGTTCCAGTCAGTGGGAGCTTTATATTTAAATGAGTGTTTTCCTATTTGTTTTTTGACTCTTGGGACAAAAACTATGTGATCTGCATGACGTAAACTGTAAGAGGATCTGAATGGAATTAAACACTGTTTGAGATGTCTCCACAAAATTGCAATAAATATCGTACCGTGAGAGGCATATCGAGAGAATCTTGTATCGAGAAGACTGGATATGATTACATCCCTAATATTTATATTACTATATTTCTGTATTTAATTTTTTACTTGTACTTATACATTTATATAATTATGCTTTTTGCGATTTTGGTACTTATTTTGAATTTACTGCGGACACCCTGCTCCAAGGACTAATGGTTCTCTCTGGGGCGCTACTAGATTCTAAGTCTTACTCCAAGATTAGTCCTGGTTCAGCTCTGGTCTAGTCCTGGTTTAAACCTGGTTTGGTCCTGGTTCAGTTCTGATTTAGACCTGGTTTAATCCTGGTTCAGCTCTGGTTTAGTCCCAGTTTAGATCTGGTTTAAATCTGGTTTAGTCCTGGTTTAGTCTTGGTTTAGTCCTGGTTCAGGTCTGGTTTAGTCACAGTTTAGCAATGGTTCAGTTCTGATTTAGACCCGGTTTAGTCCTTGTTCAGGACTGGTTTAGACCTAGTTTAGTCTTGGTTGAGTCCTGGTTCAGCTCTGGTTTAGTTCTGGTTTAGACCTTGTTAAGTCCTGGTTCAGTCCTCGGTTTAGTCCATATACGGCGCAAAAGTTCAGCATCTTCACCCTCTGATTGTTATTTGACAGATCAGCCACAGATATTTTGGTGAGAGTAATTTAAAGTGCTGCAATAGTCGTGTAATGTTTTACATTTTAAATACAATAATATTGTAATGGAACAAATTACTCTGAAATAACAGGAACAAGTCATAAATAACATTACAGTTTTGAAGTAATAGTGGAAAACATAAACATAGAGCAAAGACTTTTTAATAATCTGAAGTGAGAGTAGACAAACTTACCTTCAACACTTAAGTACGTAGACTCTTCGAGGACTACATTTGACCTTATGAAGAATCCACAGAAGTACAATCCAGAATCTGAGGTTTGTACTTGATAGATTGTCAAAAACACAAGTGTTTTGTTGGTGTTCATTTGAAACCTGCTGTGTTTAAATCCAGAACAATATGAAGGTTCATCATCAGATCCAAACACTGAAGAAATACAGCGAGCTTTAGTTCCATTCTCCACTCGGAACCAGTCCACTTGAGTTGTCTCTTTGGAGATATTTGAACACGACAAAGTGACGTTTTCTCCGAGCTCGACCTCCAACTTCTTGTCACCCAGTGCGCCCATCATCCAAACTGGTAAAACATCAACATCAACTTAAATGGTTAGCAAAAATAATTCAGACATACTTCATACATGTACTTACCACACAGACTGGTAAATGCTACAGTTAAAGCAGAGCTGTTCATTGTGCTGCAGATGCACAAGTGAAATCAGGTTCTGTCATTTGGAGACTTATAAATAAACAGGAAATATGGTTTTCAGAAGTTGTGGTGAGAAAGGAGACAGGGCTTTTCTAAAAAACATAACTGAAACTGACACATATTTTACCTTCTGATGGTGGCTGGTGGAGTGGAGGTTTGGTTTAGTGAGGAAATGAAATCTTTTTTGTTCATGTACATTCTCTGTCAGACTCTGTATGAAGCAGAGGGGGGCAGTAAATTGTGGAAACAATACAACTGTGCAAATTTAACACAACAAATTCAAACTAAAATATTCAACTCAACTAAATCACACAAAAAAACAAAATTAGTAGGTCAGGCCACATTAACGTGTTAATTTTGCCTTAACTAATTAATTCATTATCGCCGACAATTATTTTAACGCAGTTTTTATTATTTATTTATTTGTAAATGTCTGTTGCTCACTGGCTTTTATTTTGAAAAAGTCCACTGCGAGCGTTTCTTTAAGTTTGATTTCTTTTCTTTACACTTTATTCACTTTTTTTCTGACCACGTGAGATGCAACATGTCCGAGACTCTACGAGCTGTAGGCTCTGGCCGGGCTGGACCAGCCGTGGGCTCTGAGCTTCCTCGGGCTCCTAGCTCCGACCAGGCCGCGGGCTCTGGTTCACTGGTCTTTGTCTTTCTTCTCCTTCTTCCAGACGTCCCTGAGGCGTCGTGTTCAGTGTGGTTTTCGGCGCTGCCGTCTCACTTACATAATACTTTTACAGGGTATTCACAAAGACCCGGAAGATTTCGTGATATGATCCCGCCCATAATTCAGTCACTGATTGACCCAGATACCATTGGAAGAAAAATTGTGATTGGTCCATTTCCATTCCATTATATTAACCCTAATCAGTCCAAGTTTATAACACTGATCTAGAAATTATTACTAGTGTTGTGTTTATTACTCACTGAATAAAAAATATTGAAAAAATATATTAGTAGTACAAAAATTCATTCAATATTTTTTTGAGCCTTCACTGAATACCTTGAAGGCGCTGAGGGTTCAACTCTGAAACAAATGCTGTTTGCACAACAAATGTGTGGCTCTTTCATTTACATTTCCAATAAAAGTGCACTATACTCTACTTTTTAATTCATTAATTGGTTTTGTGTATAACCAATGTGTATAAACTCATGCGATTAATATTTTTTTATTTTTGCCCAGCCCTAAAAATTTGTGATGCAAAAACCAAAGATTAAAACCAAACCAAAGTAACCAGATTTTATTATGCAAAGTGCTCGTGCTGTACAAACCAACATAAAAGTGCTGTAGTATTTTATTTTTTTTCTCTTTTTAGATGTAAAGTGCTTGGTGTGTGGTCTTAAAATGCTCTGAGATATTAGATGTTTTAAAGTGCAAGTTGCAACTGCATTGTACTGTCCTCTATTGCACAAACTATCCCAGCCAACTCTTACTTATAATACTTATAAAATCTGGACTATTGAGCGCACCTGAATGTAAGTCACATCAATTAAATTTTAACTATATTTTAAAATTGTACATATATAGGCCGCACCTGAATATAAGTCACAGGTGTCCACGTCTTCAAGAACGTTATTAAGTTTGGGCCGTTTGCTTTTATTGCCTCTGAAAGCTTTTGTCGTCTTTTTGCATTAAGTCAGTTCGTCGTGCTGTCGTCGCCAAAATCTCACCATCGACTCACTGATGCTGAGTTCACATCCAGCGGCTCTGTTTCCTTCTTCAACAGCCACATCAATCACCTTTAACTTAAAAGCTGCATCATCTGCATTTCTTTGCGTGTTTTCCGTGAGGAGGGTGTGTGTATGAAGCGCAAAATAACTGTTCAAAACACAATCAAACGAGCATCTTCCTCGGCGCATCACCCTCGTCTCTCCCCGTGCATGTCTCCTGCAGAAAGAGCCTCTGTTCTGTCTGTATTATGTCAGTGTGTTGGAGGATTTCAGCAGATTTCAGACTCTCTCGGGGGCGGGGCTAGTTTTATCAATCAGGTATAAGTGGATGTGCAGCTACTGAAGTTTGAGACGTTTCTTCTTGTCATTTACTCATACGGGTGAAACGTATCCCCCTCACTAATGTTCATTTAGCATCAGAACTTCTTTTATCACACGGCGATAAACTATTTGAGTGCTCTGACAATATCGCTAGGTAGTGTAACAACTTCATGTGAACCCTAGATCCACGTGTGAGCCGCACAGACAGCGGTGTTTTCTGCACTCAGGCTGTGTGTATGTGCTGTGTTACCAAACCATAGACAATGTGCCAAACAAAGAATCACTCCATATTTTTGCCGCATAGTTTTATTAGCCGGAGGATTCAAAGTGTGAGAAAAAAGTAGCGGCTTATAGTCTGGAATTTACGGTATATACGCACTTAAAAGGAACTTAAGGGCGAACTTTGAAATCTGACTTTGGGCCTGTTTACACGAGAACGCTTGCGAGTAAAAACAACAAAATATTTTATCAGAAGTGCCTTTCGTTTAGATGGTGACGGCGTTTTATGGGCTTAAAAACAAAAAACTGAAAGCACCCTCAAGAGTGGAAAAGTTGAATACACTCCGCAGTAGCGTTTCTGTCTACACTGCCCAAGACACAAAACTCTAGTTATTATTATTATTATTATTATTATTACTATCATTATTATACTTCCTGGTCGGACATGGGTCGTGTTGTAGTCAAGACCGCACTAATCGAGACCAAGACCAGTCCGAGACCACAGGGTCCTGAGACCAGGACAAGACCTCTGAGGGTCGAGACCGAGACAAGACCAAGACTTTTAAAGGTCTAGACCAAGACAAGACCAAAACCACGGCCCATCGAGACCAAATCAAGATCATCTTTGTCATTTCTTATATTTATTTGTATTTTACTGTTATTTTGGCACATTTATATCAAAGTTTTTTTTTTTTTTTTTTTAAATAAATCTATCTCAACTTGATCTGATTAATGTTCATTTAGACTTAAAATAAGACAAGCAAAGTACAGCACTGAACCCTGGACCTTCACTCACAGTTTGAGAAGCGCTTCTTTAATCCCGCTTCCGCTCACACTTTACACAAAACAATTTCAAAGTGAATCAAATGGGTTTTTTTTTCAGGTTCCTAACATTTACAGTCACATTCTCTTACAGGTTTTGCAGTGATATTTAGCTTCTGCACATTTACCAGCCACTCACAGAGTGTCACACCTCAAGTCCAAGACAAGACCAAGACCAAGTGCTATCAAGACCGAGACAAAACCAAGTCCAAATGTGCTCGAGTCTAAGATGAGACCAAAACCGTAAAATAGCGGTCTCCAGGTCAGTCTCGAGGCTTGAGTACAACGCTAGACATGGGCAGTGTTACCTAGCAACCATAATGTAAACAAGTTCCAAAATGTCTTAGGCAACACTCACACTAGGACTTCAGAACCGTGCCTTGCTCAAACACGATTGTCTAGGGTTCTGTGTTCCGCACTCACACCTGCACAACCGAACTGTGCCACGGCCCGATGACGTCATCACTGTTTGTTTACAGGTGCTAATGCTTTTAGCAGAGAAGAAATGTCCAGAGGCAGAAAAATCGATTAAATAGTGAGACAGATGTGCATCCTTTTATGTCAGTTTATGGAGATAAAAACAGCGTGGAGCAGTGAGAACAGCCAGAGACGAGACACAGCTAAACTTCTGTCACAGTTCTTATTGAAGGTGAGCGCGGGTCCCATATGGAAAAAAAAACAGGACAAAAATATAAGAATTTACCACTGTGTTTGTAGTAAATCTTTATATAAGGTTCATATGTGTCACGTGTGATTTACTCCTGAAAGTTTGCATTTTTCTCATACAACTATATTATGAAAAACTAGTAAAGATAAAGTGAACATTTTGCATGACATTTACAGGTAATGTGCATGATATGATTTGTATTCTTTAATTATATGTTGTAGTTGAAAAAACAAAACAAACTCTGAATCAGAAGGGGGATTTGAACCCAGGTCTCCCATGTGACAGTCCAGTGCCTTACCAGTTGAACTAACCAGCTGTTACCTGTAGGGGGCACTA